AGATGTAGCAATTTTGTTATCCCGTAAGCTCTACTTTCGCAGCCATATTAATTATATTCCATTCGTGGTTTAAAATTTTTAGGTTTGATTCATTAAATTTCTATATTTTTTCGGACTACGGATAATACTATGATTTTGTATAAAGCCCTAATCCGGTCTAAACTTGAGTGCGCTTTCGTCGCTTGAAAATAGATACATTGAGTTGCAACCTTATTCTGTGACATGTTTCTTATTGGGGCTTGTGATATGAAGATATTTGTTAGGTTGAATTATTCGACAGTTGAGTCCAGGCCGCGATTGCTTGATTCTTTATAAATTTTCAGTTTCCTTTAAAGCAAACTTAGTTGCTCATCCAATCTTGAGACTGTTATTGCACTTACTAGGTCAATAAGAGACGTTTCTACTTTTCATGTTCACCATCGCGCAAAGGTTGGCCTACTGAGCTAGTAAACCAAGCTCCTGGATCTCAATCACAGAGCCTTTTCAGCATCGGCCTGGACTTATGGATACCGTGTTCGTCTCCAGTGTGGGGATAGTGATATCAGCACAGTCCGAGAAGATTAAATCACAGGGTACATCTGAGAGGCTACACGTTTGGAGTAGTACATACATTTATATAGTACCTAGGGTCCTCTGCCAGTTTGTAATAACGGTAATAACCAAGAAGTTAAGAAATTAATTTTGATAGCTAATAAATATTTCTAGTGAGCCGGGTTAGCGTAGTCAGTATAGGGACTAGGTAGGGGGTGGACGACCAAAAGGTCGGAGTTTGAGTCCCAGTAGTGTCAAGAATTTTCTTTTCTCCACGTCGTTCAGACTTGCTCTGGGGTCCACCCGACCTCCTATCCAATAGGTACCAGGGGCTCTTTCCCCGGTAATAAAGCGACCGGGGCGTGAAGCTGACCACTCACCTCCAACTAGTGCCGAGGTCAAAAAATGTGGATCTATACACCCACTCCCACATACGCCTTCATGGGGTGGTGCTTAATTAGATAAGCACAGAGACAACTTTTTTCTTTTCCTTGGCACTATAGCCCCAGTGGGCCTAGGCCTACCTCCATGAACTTCTCCGTTCACTTCGGTTTTTCTAGATCTTACACATTCGGTAGAACTCCTTGGGCGGGTGATCAGCTCGTCGCAAGGCCTCTACCTGTACACAAACACAGAGAAACGCGCACACACAAACTAAACATCCATGCCCTGAGTGGGATTCGAACACACGATCCCGGTTTCCAAGCGAGCGAAGACAGTACATGCCTTTGACCGCTCGGCTACCGTGACCGGCCACAGGGACAACTTTACCTTCAATAAACGTTTCTGTGTTAAAGAGCCAACTAAAATAATATACACTTTCATGGAAAATTAAGATATTACACAAGACATTAATTAGGCCAGTCCTGACATGCGCATCGGAAACATGGGAAATTTTTATATCTGACAAAAAATTTCTTCCTCTCTTTAAGAGAAAAGTTTTGAAGTCCACATATGACCCAATCAAAGACAGCAATAAATGGAGAATTAGGTACAATTACGAATTATATCCTTTATATGAAGACAAGGATATTATAACTTTTATAAAAGTAGGGGGATTAACAACGATAACAGATCGAAACCTGATTCAGGAGGAAATTAAGAGGAGACTGAACTCGGGTAATGCTTGCTACCATTCAGTCCAGAACCTTTTGTCTTCTCGTCTGTTGTCCAAAAACGTAAAAATTAGAATATACAAAACTATAATTTTGGCTGTGGTTCTGTATGGGTGTGAAACTTGGTCTCTGACATTAAGGGAAGAACATAGACTGAGGGTGTTTGAGAACAGGGTGGTGAGGAGAATATTTGGACCGAAGAGAGATGAAGTGACAGGAGGTTGGAGAAAACTGCATAATGAGGAGCTTCATAATTTGTACTCTTCTCCAAGTATAATTAGAATGATCAAGTGAAGGAGGATGAGGTGGGAAAGTCATGTAGCACGAATGGGGGAGACGATGAATGCGTATAGGATACTGGTGGGAAAGGCAGAAGGAAAGAGACCACTGGGAAGACCAAGACGTAAGTGGATGGACAATATTAAAATGGATCTTAGAGAGATAGGATGGGATGGTATGGACTGGATAGATCTGGCTCAGGATAGGGACCAGTGGTGGGCTCTTGAGAACACGGTAATGAACCTTCGGGTTCCATAAAATGCTGGGAAATTCTTGAGTAGGTGCAGAATTAGCAGCTCCTCAAGAAGGGCTCAGCTCCATGAGTAAGTAAGTAAGTAAGGCGAATTAAAAAGGATTGGTCATATTGTTCGAATGGACCAGCAAGGACCTGCGAAAAGAATCGTTAGTGCCAAACCAGAAGGCAGAAGAAATAGAGGAAGGCCTAAACTGAGATGGGAAGATGCACTGGATATGATGTTAAAGGCCTTGGATAAAGAAACTTGAAAAACCTAGACAGGAATTGACAACTGTGGCAGAATCTTCTAAGGAAATCTATAGCTAGGCAGGCTTCTTTTGCCAGTAATGATGCCGAGCAGCTTCTGTAATTCTAATAGTTGTGCGCTCTCGTCTGATCGAAGGAAACCTAAATCATTCAAAAATCCCTTGAACTGTAAAACGAACATTTCCGTCCTTTGATTCCGACCACTTCCCTCGTACTTTACCTATGCAGCTCAGATGAAGAATGTAGTATTTGGAAGAAGCCCTATTCCAATGACATGGATCCCACATGGACTACACTAGGTTCGAATCCGGGCCTCTAGTTTCGTCTGTTATCTAATATGGCACCTTGTAAGACACATGATGTAAATTATATTTTTGGCTTCGTTTATACAGCATATCTTACTGTAAAATTTATTTGCATATAGCGAACTTCAGTATCAGTAACACCGATGAATGTAGCAGCCTGCAGGCTGTTTATGACTGACAAGGCCAAAATAATGTGAAGGTCTGAAAGGAACAGAAGGTTTTAAAAAAGTCAATAACACACATTAGACATCAGTTATTATGCATACGCATGGCGAACAAAAAGAACTAAGAAATTAGCAAATATAAATTTCATACTTTTTTTTTTGTTGCGGTTTGGCGATGTCGGAAGAGCGGAAATTTCAAACTTCCATTACTTTAGTCACAATGTAATTATTACGCACCTGAGCCAATCTCCATTTCCTCTCTCTCCTCCTCCACTCTACAAGTTCACAAACCATTTTACTCGTAAAATGACTTCCTCTTTCCCCTATCTCAGTGTTTGTGTTCACGTAACGCACTGTTTCGTAATGAGATTAACGGTAATTATCCTCTGTAGACAACTCGTCCAAGCGGGCTGCTGGTGTTAGACATGCATAAACTACCCATCTGTATTTACTATAGGATTCTGACGATGGTGTATAACACACTGATATATTGGGTTTCTGGACTTTATCCATCGTCCTGGCTTTTAAGATAACAAATAAAAACACGACGTTTCGGAAACTGGATCTGTTTCCGTCCTCAGGTGAAGGAAAAGGGGAATCACTGGACCAGTGATTGAAGCTAGCTCTTTCTAACGGACCCAACAGAATAGGTGTTTCCCCTTTTCCTTCACCTGAGGACGGAAACAGATCCAGTTTCCGAAACGTCGTGTTTTTATTTGTTATCTTAAAAACCAGGACGATGGATAAAGTCCAGAAACCCAATATATCAGTACCCATCTGTATATTTAGGCCTCTCTCCAGCACTGGATGCGGACAGATCTCCCCCTTCCAGAATTACAAATAAGAGAAACAGCGGATATAGAACAAGAGGATGCTCCTTACATACCAAAAACAGACGATTGAAAAGACGTCTTCCAATTGACCTCAAGTGAAAATCAGAGGCTCCTTCGGTGGAAGGATCCTCATCCTGTCATAGGCGGGCTTATTAGCCCAGTGTTATCACAATAGCTTATAGAATACTAATTCTGATCGCTATTTAAGTAATAACAAAAACATATACAAATTAAAATATTCAGAGAAAAACAAACTCCGTAGCCTGTAGTCCGCAAGTGAACTATACCGATCGAACGACCGCCGCTTTTCGGCGAAGTTAGTGCCAACTATTACGGATAGAGGGTGTCACGTGGTCAGCGCAACGAATCCCCACGGCCATTAATCTCAATTTTCTAGACCGGAGCCGCTATTCTCTTGAAATAGCTCCACTACTATCCTCAGGAGGCTGAGTGGACCCCGTTCCAGACCCACCACTTCTCAGAAAATCTGGTAGCGCCGGGAATCTAACCGGGATCTCTGGATCTGTAGCCAGGAACTCTGACCTAGACCACAGAGGCGGTCAAAATATTCAGAGAAACATATATAAAATAATAACTCTAATTTTAAAGTGCTTTACAAAACTCTTGTTCCCGTTTCTTTCCAGTACTTCGATTATCCATAAAAGTTGGGTATAGATCTGTAACCGAAAAGGCTATGGGTGAAATTTTCCATACCTGGTTCATTAAGTGACTCGTTCAGTAACACTCGCTAGTAGTTCAACGAGTTATTTTGCACTCATTGCAAACAATATTTTGTTAATAAAACGCACCAAGATGGAGGCAAAATATATGCAAATCGGAAGGGCATGCACAAGTCTCTGCTATTTTCTGCAACCAGAAGGCTATTCGCATAAACTTTTTGTTTTATCTCTTAAAATAATACGAAAGAAAAAATAGAATGCTAAAAGGAGAGATAGTAATGTTATAAAGAAACTTCCTGTCTCGACCCTTTACAGCATGTATCGACGAGTGCATAGAACTGCGCGTAAAGTGTTAGATTAATATGACATTCAGTGAAATAACTCGGTTAATAAAGACATATGCACTGGTCAAGTAGAGCAAGCTGCCCCAAACGTCATCCTGTATACAGTTATAATTCAAGTCTCCACCAACGTCACACACGAAACATCGTATCGCGTTTCTCCTTCATTGTTCCCGTTTACACTTACTCCTTCTACAAGTGTCATAAATGCGCATATGTATGCAAGTGATCATTTCGCGACGTGATCAACTTCCATTAAGGCTGCCTCTCAACAGCAGAATATTACAACCCACACCCATACGCCTACATTTTTGTACCAGTTCCAGCAAAGTGACAAATGAAATTGAAACCGCTTGAATATCTTTTAAGAGACTAATTTCTAGATAAATGGCCATCAACGTTTCCATCTCTTATCATGTTATATAATGCTGTAGTTTTCCTAAATAAAGTAGCTGTTAACGGCGGTAAACATCTCCACTCTACTAATTGCAGGAGCCGTTCAGTCCACGCTTGACAGAGAGGCACCTGGCGGACTTATCGAGAAGAACATGAAGCAGTAGTCGTTTCAGTTTTGACGTGAGCGGACGGTCCCGTAGGAAGTACATGGCGCGACACCAATGCATGCTAACGAGATACAACTGAACGCTGTTTCTCTTGAAGTGAAGTGCAGTGAATTGTGTACGTGTACAATATAATAAATGTCTCGTGATATTTTTGTGGAAACAACATGACACGTAGAAGAAATACTATAAATATTTATGACTATCCTGAGCATTTAAATCCATTCCGTGAAGATGCTGACGACAATAATGAAAAATTCAACACAACAGTACGACGATGTTCACCATTTAGGGTCAACGCTTGGTAATTATTTTTAATTATACTAAAAACAGAGCAGATAACGTCGGAGTCTATTTATTACGTTAGGAATTACGTCACTGAAATCCAAGTAGTAGATCTAGGCTAAAACAAATATTTACCCTCATATGCAGCTCATTTCATATGACATGTTGTGTGTTACAGAGTATTTAAATGCCCTACTAGATATTTTTCTAGCATGCTATGTTTTTTCAGCAGTGTTGTCATATTTTCTTGAAGGCACGCCCACTGTTTCTGTTATTCCGTATACGTGCCATTTTATTGATAAGCGCTATTTGTGATGACATGTAGTTTCAGATTTAATCAAAATATGAAACGGACCGTTAACAAATAAAAGAGTAAGGCCACATACATTGCTGTGGTTTATTTATTTTTTGCTTTTGTTTCGATGTTTGGGGGTATTATTAATCTGTACAGATATACGTGTTTCTGTTTCTGTTCTATTTATCGATAATTTCAATAGCTCAGATTATAAAGAGAAGAATGACAGTGTAATCAGTGAATAATGAACTGAAAAGAATGACGAACAAAACTGTGGCAGTTTGATTTGAGGTACTGCTCCAGAATTTTCCTGCCAGAACTGAAGAAATGAAAGAAAATCGGCGATCAGGATAGCTGATCTCCAGGCCAAATTTTGAACTCGAGACATCCAGAACACAGAGCAGAAATGCAAATCACTCGACCGCCACTTTCGATTACAAGGACATTACTGATTTAATCAGCGACAGGAATAATCAATAAGAAAATTACAATATCGATACCCCAATGACTATAGACCACCTTTAATATGTTTTATGTGCACATTGTGTGAATATTCTGGCTATTATTCCATTGTTTGCACTTGAGCTTCTTTCATATTATGTAACATCCGTATTGACAGTGGGTGTAGGTAGGAGGAATTGCAGATTCATTCGTAGTTGGGAAGGCAAATGTGGACGCTTATATTAGGAGCACAAATTTTATTGCAATGTGTAAGAAAAATGGACACCTCGCAAAATATCTGACCTTATCGTTTGCACTCTTTTATCTGACGCATGAGCATAATTAAACATTGTGTTCTGTAAGGGAAAACCACTTTCCTTTTTCTGACTTGTAGGATAACTTCCGCTTTGCTCTTTGTGGTATGTATAAACTTCCACAACAAATTAGTTCAAGCATTATTATTATTATTATTATTACAGATATTAAATTTCTAATTATAAGTCATAGAATTGCGCCATAGCTCAAGCGGTTAGTCGCTGGATTCCCACCGCGACTTCCGGGGTTCGATCCCCGGTCTGGTCAAGTGGGATTTGTGGTGGAAAAAGTGGCGCTGGGGCAGGTTTTCTCCCAGTGCTTCGGTTTCCCCTGCCAATCTTCATTCCACCAATTGCTCCACAATCACCCTCACCTATCATCTGGGGCTGGTACAATAGACCAGAAGTGGCCGCAGTACAAGGGATTTAGTCCCACCCCACTAGCAATAAAAAAGGCATAGAATTTAAATTGTTAAAATTTTCAATAAAAGTATTAAGTTTTTCGTTGTTTTGTTCACTCTAGTGGAGTAATGCAACATAATAATCTCCATCGTGTGAAATATAAAGAGACAGTCTTAATTTATGATCTGACAAGACAACTATACCTAACACCCACATAAATCGAGTGAATTATGGTGTTTAATTTCCAATGGAATACTTGAATAAATTATCTAAATGAATTTCCATCACAAATTTTAATAAAAAAAAATAAATTTCAATTTTTATTTCAAATAGTGCTTTACTCAATCAGAGGAAAATACAGTGAAAAGTCTTACATCTGAAGAAGGAAATATATGACCGAAACCTGTTGTATTAAGAACGTGAACAAAAGAACTGAAATATACCAGTGTACAAATAGCCATGCAGCCGTTTATTATTTAAGAAAGTTAGGGTCCACTCAGCCTCGTGATGATAATTGAGGAGCTATTTCAAGGAAATAGCGGCTCCGGTGTAGAAATCCGAAATTAACGGTCGTGGGGATTCGTTGCGCTGACCACGCGACACCCTCTATCCGCAAAAGTTGGTACTAAACTTCGCCGAAAAGCGGAGGTCGCTCGGTCGGTATAGTTGGCTTGAGGACTAAAATCACGGAGTTTGTTTTGTTTTTGTGTCAATAAACTAAAATAAAGAAGTACTAGATCCATGCAACTTGATGCTTAAATATAATATTATAGGCCAATTGGCCTCGAACTGTGAAAATAATAATAGTAAACACTATCGAATGAAATTTAGTTAAGATCAACTAGGATTTATTAATTCCATTTTTGCAGTAGATGTATAGCATAGGAGTCAGACGTAAGATTACAGGGAGGTTGTGGCCCGGCCTACTTATAACGCAAAATGACACTCCGAAATTTCCTCATGAGCTCAGATTTTGGATACGTCCAGCTTCTCTGATACAAGACGGACTGCACACAGGAAACATGCAAAGGCCTGTCATTTCATTCGTTTAAAAAGGCAAGCAAGTTCTTATTGCACGAGAATATTAAAGGCTGAGGCACAGGAGGCTTAAATGTGTTTGTGTATGACGCCGTTTCCTTGTATCGTCGCTGCTAGACTGTGTGCAGGAAAGTGGAGTGGCCTTATAATGACTGCGCAAGATAGCGATAAGTCGCTCGTCACCTGATTAGATTAGAGCAATGATATCATGCACAGGCCTTAATAATATCCTGAACTTTGCGCTAAGCTTTGCCAGGATGGTGGACACTCCTTTAAATAATTGCTAAGCAAGTATCTTAAACAAAGAAATGTCCGAAATATTAATATAAATATTGATACTACTGTTACTAATTATAATGTTGATGGTGATGGTCATGATGATTATAATAATTCAATTCGTGTTTATTTACGTGCAAACTTAACAGCACAGAGGCCAATTACAAAGCTAGCACGAATAGAGAAATACACAAAAATAGTTAAAATACAAAAATTATAGTCTATATTAATTACACAGCGTGAATAAAGATACAGAAGCAAACATATATAGACAAAGCCACAATGTGAGAATTTGAGTTTCAAATAGAGCAGCATACAATAATAATAATAATAATAACGAAATTAATAAAAGTAATGATAATAATAATAATAGTTTAATTAGTTCAGTATAAGATATATTTCATCAACTGAGTTGATAGAAATACAGAAATAATTATAATAATAATAATGAGGAGAAGTTAACTATCACAATAAAACGAAAGATGGAAATTCAAAAGATCAGACATACACACACGTACGTTGTGCTGAATTGAATTATAAAAACTTTTTGAAAATATTGTTTTTGATTTAAACCGAAGGTGTGGTGTTAATTGGTCCCAGGTCTAAGATTTCTGTTTTAGTACATTCCGACCTAATCATACCAGTGTTGGAGTATCAGGTCATATTGATCGTAACCATGTGTGTCTAACCTCATCAAGCCTCCTATATGACTGAAGATTTCTTGTCTTCTGGGATGCGGTGTTGTTAGTCTGGTAGAGTATATGGCGCATCATCCCGGAAGACAGAAATCATACCAAAATTCTCTCATGATTCTCTTCTTTGTATGACCAGTAACAGGAAATAGAAATCGATATATAGAGAAGTAAATTTAGAAATAAAACAGTTATTTCTTTTCTTTTCACAGGAATGTATTTTCATCAAACAAAGGTAAATCAATGGCTTCCGAGGATATTGACCGAGTAAGCTCAAGTGCATCTAGTCGCTTCATGACATGGACACCCAAGTTACTTAGAAAAGCAAGTTTCCGCCAGTCTTCACGAAGCAAAGCAGCTGAGTTTCTAGGTCCACGGGGGACTCTGTCGCCTATTATGTCACGACTGTCATTTCGAAACACTGCTTCACAGCGTATGGTTCCACCTGCTAGCTCACGATCCTCTCTTCCACCTAGCGCTTCACCAGCATCACTGCATTCTAGCAAATCAAGAGTCACGCTTCCACCTAGCCATTCACCTAATGCATTTTCATCCAGCAAGCTCACCTCACCGCCTGGCAGACCAGCAGCTCCTAATGTACGCACTTCGCTTTCACCTAGCAGGTCTTTATTAGCACCAGCAGTGGCACCTAGTACAGGAAATGCACCTAACAACGTAAATACCGGAAGCAACCAAACAGCACCTGTTCTTGCGGTTGGTGTAAATTTGTGTCCAGCATCGCCTTCAGAGAAAATAGGTACGAACTGTGTACAAATTCTATACGCTTAAATATGCTTTATATATCAAAGCAATATTCTTATATTTTTCTATGCTGTCCATATGCATGGACCAACCAGCCCATTTATATTATTTATCCACCCAATGTCAGAGGTGTAGTATGATTTTTATTTATATATAAGAATGTTACTATCACCTCAAGTAGGCTCTCTTATGTAATAAACTCTCTTAGACTAGCTGTACAACTGAAGTAGGATTTCTTTTCCATCTTGAACCTTCTGCGAAGCTGATACGAAATGTAATAGTAACAACCTTTACTAAGCCAGTACATTTCTATGAGAAATTAAATTCTCACAATGGTTACCTCCTGGGATGTGACGCCATGTATTCTTGTGGATCCTTACTAACATTTCGGAAGAACGTGCTCTAGCATCTTAACTCTTCTACTTCTACTTCTACTTCTACTCCGAAACGTCGAAAACGATCTATCAGACTGCACTGCTTCACATCCCAGAAAGCATTAATCTTCAATATCATTTTGCATTTGTATATAGAATTATTATTATTATTTTGTCTCCTTATATGGAAACAAAATCTATAAGAACATATTTCTTATAAATAATTACGAAAGAGATCTTAGAACTTATACGTGTATTATTTGAGGCGAACTCTGAAATTTAGAATCTAGAACCACGATAAACTTTAATAAGAAAGAGTGCAATGAGGCGATGCCTCCTCGTGCGTAGAGTGTGCAATTTTATTTCCTTCAAAGCAAGAGAATAGCAGTAACGGACTTCAGGAGAGAAACAATTAAAACAGAGGGCCGCAAACCTCTGCTGTATGCGTTCCAGCTCTTTGCATCAGTTGACGTAATTGAATTCCAGACAACGGATGCGTATTCAAGTTTATATCTAACTAATGTAATATATAATCAGTGCATATATTCAAGAGATGAGAATGTGAAGGTAACGCTACGAACTGGACCCAACTTCTTAATAGAATGAGAAAAATATGGTTTCCATGGTTATGAAAATGAAGTTTAGCATCAATACATATTTTCAAGTCCTTAATAGAGTCGGTCCGGGTTATGGAGGCTTGGATAGATTAGTATGTTGGTTTTCCTGGAGTTTTACTGATATTGAGTTTCATAGAATTAGCAGAGCGCCAACATTTTACAGGGTTAATGTCAGACTGTAGTAGATTGAAGTGCACAAGAGATTTCATGTCTCGGTAGATTTCGATATCGTCAGCAAAAAGTAGATACTGAGAGTGGGCAACTGCTTCACATAAGTCGTTAATAAACAAAATGAAGAACAGATGATAATAATATAAACAATAAAAATAAACACATGTCCTCCGCAACCCCACATTGTAATTGTGCACTGAATCGAACAATAGTGAATTAGGCCTACAGTCCTCCCTGCTTAGTAGCGAACGGAAATTACTTGAAAACATCGAAAGCTGCTGATAGGTTAGCCATCACTTCCCATCAGAGTCCATGTAGTTATCTGTGACAAAAGGATCCAGCGTGTCGTTTTCCACTGTGTCATCATTTCCTCTTGTGATATTATGTCCTTATGTTCACAATGGTTTGATGTCATGCATGTGCCCGAGATATGTGTGATAATCATAATCATATGATTTCGTTAGTTCAGGTATGTCCGAAGGTCAGAGTCAGCCACAAAGCCGTGTGGTCTGGTTTTCACGTGGGAAATACAAAGAAAAATGTATATGTTTACACGTATTTCAAGGATATGTCGATCAGAGTGGCCGCACGGTCTAAGGCATGATATGTCTTCGCTCGCTCGAACACTGGGATCGTGGGTTCGAATCCCACTCAAAGCATGGATGTTTGTTTTCGTTTATTCTGTGTTTGTGTGTAGGTAGCGGCATTGCGACGGGCTGATGACTCGTCCAAGGAGTCCTGCCGACTGTCTAAGATTAAGAAACTGAAGTGAAACGAAGTGTTTCACGAATGCCCTGTGCTCCAAGTGGGAGCAACAGGAATAAAGATAGATTCCAAGGATATAAGAGTCAAACTGTAATGAGAGCACAGGTTGATAAGTCTTACGCTAAGCAGTAAATGAATGGTGCTTTCCATCGTCACCAACAGGACAGTAGGCCAGTTACTTCTAAGGGAATCAGAATGGAGTTGGTACCTTTGTCATTCTTCATGACGGAGCCAGTCGGATAATAGCATAATCGCAGCAATGATCCGTAGAATCTTGAAATATACGTACAACATATCCATGCTCGTTTATCATGTGTCATAAATGTACCTTTCATGGTGGTTTTCTGTTGCACATTCAGAAAATCCAGGTTTGAATCCAATTGCTTATGGGGTCAAGTCAGGCAATTTTGTAATTCGAAAAAAATAAATTTGACCTGGGAGTGCTATACGCCAAAACACACGAGACTAAAAAGAAAAAGTGAGTTTCGAGGTTCTCACAACCGTGATTATGCACGTTACTCTCGTCTGACTCCTTCCCCGAAGAAGGTGAGAGCACGTACCTGCGAAATGAAAATTAAATGGCGTTATGTCCCAGAAGAGAGTAATCTCCTAAAAGAGATATAGAATTGACGAATTTATATATCAATTACTGAATATTTGCCAAATTTGTAGTCCATAAATTTGTGTATATTAATCCTATGAGACTCTGATGACTACGAGTGTGAACTCTGTAGATTCAACTCTCTTTAGAGCACATCAGTAGTAAACTCCAAGAGTAACTGAATATGAATTGAATATTTCAGCTGCTGCGGGTATGCCAGTCGTGTTAAATATATTCAGCTAACACCAAATGACTTATCGTTATACAAGTATCTGTTACGATGTAGAACTACAGAACTTTCAGATGTTCGGAGAATAAAATAACATAATTTTCTTAAAAATTGGTCCATAAGAAAGTTTCTATAACGCACTGCCTAGCTTAAAACGCATTTTAAAGGAAACGAATTTTAATACAATTTTACAGCTAGAACGTTTATGACACACAGAAACAAACTCTTACTGTTACACCAGCCCAGGTTGCCAGTAAACTGGAATAACTAATATCCCCACGAGATAGAATCTTCATAGTCACCACTGTGAGAAGCTCAAATCCAATATAATAATCCTGCGTTCGAGGCCGTCATCGAGGTACCATGGATATAACAGGGAAGTCATATGCATTAGTTATGACTCTTGAATGTCAAAATTTTATATATTTACGTTAGAAAGTTTCGGTGAAGATGGGGAGTAAATCTGTTTTTAGTGGGGGAATAGGGGCACGCGTTAGCGTAGTTGGTTGAGGCACTATGCTACAAGCCGGTAGGTCGTGGGATCGAATCTCAATGTGGTTGATTTTTTTCAATTTACCTACTCCTTCCAGCCGCCCTATGGCCTTGGGGTCGGCTCAGCCTCTAACAGAAATAAGTACCAGGAATCTTCCTGGGAGTAAAGGGCTACGGGCGCGTAAGGCTGACAACCTCACCGCCATCTGTGAGCCGATTGTCTAGAAAATGTGGGAGCCTCAACATGTCACAACCCTATGGGCCTCCACGGCCTGTTACAAGGATATCTTTACCTTTTTACCCTTTTTATAGCCCTATTGATTTGTTACTAAGTAGGCCCGACCTCAAATAGCCACTAACTTTGTTTTCTTGAAATGATCTGCATTCAGTAAACTCCTTGTAATAAGATATTTATTCCGATTTTCATGAAAATGTATCGTGGTGTGAAAGCTACTGATCTGACGATAACAAAAACTATTTACATTCAACACACGATAAATAATGCTAATTTTAACTTGATTAGTTTTAGTGTGTTTCTTCTCGAAATTTAATTCTCAAATCTATGGATATGATTACTTAAATTTTCATTAGATGTTACTATTTATGAAAGTAGTTCGTCTATTGTGACAGCATTATTTAATTTATCCTTACTTTTTAAATAAGATAATGTTGGCATTACCAGAGAGAGAGATCCAATTTCTTTATGCAATGCATTTGTTTCGTCATCACANCTAAATTTCTTCCTTACCCATTTCAAAAATGAAGTTGTTCCTAATGAAATTAACAACTGTCTTAACTATTGACAGTTTTAGGTAAGAAATTTAGGGGGCATTAATACGTAACCTGTAAATTGACGCAATTCTTTAGGAAAATCGTGGTATAGGGATATTTTCAATGCAGCATCACAGATCTGATATTTCATTAAATAAAAAATCTATTGCTTTAAAAGGATTTAATTTAAAATATTTTACTTAATGAGAGTAAGCATAGATTTCGTATGTTGCGTTACATGTTGTTACACAGGTTGTTATTCTAAACTTAGATGTCATACGTAACACCCATAATTGCAAACGAGGATGCATATTATTTAGCAGAAATAAAGTTGTCGGAAAGTCATATGGTTGAGGATGGTCTCAGTTAGATAATCAAATAAAATTAAACGTTTAAACAATTTAGAACTGCAGCGACACTTCTATTTAGTTCTATCATGATTGTTGGCCATCTAAGAACATGAAGCCTGAAGTATACAAAATTATAATTTTGCCTGTGGTTCTGTATATGTGTGAAAATTGGTCTCTCGGATTAAGAAAAAAACTGAGGACGCTTGAAAATGTGCTGCTGAGAAGTATATATGGAGCTAAGAATAATGAAATAATGGGAGGTTAAGAAAAATTGCATAACGAAGAACTTCATAAATTTTACTGCTCGGAAAAATATTATTTGATTTAAAAACCAAGGAGGATGAAATGAGCAGAACATGTAGCAAGTATGAAAAGGAAAATAAATGCATAGAAAGTTTTGGTGGGAAAACGAGAAAGAAATAACAACTAGGAAGACCTAGATATGTATGGGACGATAATATTGAAATGGATCTCACAGAAACAGAATGTGGAGGTTTTTTGTGGACAAGGGAATGAACGTCTGGGCTCCATAAAATCTGGGAAATTTCTTGAGTGGCAGAGCAACGGTTTGCTTCTCAAGAAAAACTCAGCTCCATGCCTAAAAGTATAGGCTACAATTTACAATTCCATAAATGATCTAGAATTTCCCATACTATATTCTAAAATCGAAAACACGAAAGAATGATTTGCTCTTTCCTTTAGAATACCTGCCCTCTCCGGTTACATCAAATAGATTCATTACCCGCTCCATCATTTTTCTTGGTGTTTCACTTCTTATAATTCATTTTGTGTAAATAGAAAGTTTTAACGTTATTCTACACTTTGTAAACACATTTCTATGATAATGCAAGGCTTCTGAATAACGTTCTCTTACATAACATTCTGCGTGCAGAGCTTCTAATAATTTTTATTTTACGGTTCAATCAACGTGTGGCTTTTAATTATATTCTTATTTCTTCTTCTGTAACAGCTCTACAACACAGGATGGGTCTTGGTTAGCTCAACAGTAGTTAGTTAGTTATTGGAGAGGGTGGGTTTCCCCATGCACTTAGACCAGTATTGGTCCATTGTGCTTCCCTCTATGATATTATACCAGTCTCTATACCCTACCGATATTGGTGCGTACCATCAGTCCCGACCGAGCCAGCGAGTTCGGCCTCTACTGGCTTGGCGGTATCTATAATGCTTCCCTCATCTATCAGAGGCGTTAGAGACTACTGTTGGGCGGCAAATGTCCTTGAATTTGGCTCGGTGACCTCCTTTGGAGATATGAGGTTCTTTTACGTGCCGTAAAGCTACGACACGGGACCCACGGCTTAAAGTCCCTCCCGGAGGACTTGTTCCCTGAATTTTTCCGCCCTTAAAAATTCCACGACTTCCGCCGGGTTTGAACCGGCGTACCACGAGTCATGAAGTGGGAAAGTTATCTCTAGACTACGGAGGCCGCTTAGCTCAACACTATCCTTCCATTGCTCCTTCCTTCGTACACGCGTCTTCCAACTCTGGATCTTCATATTCGTATGTAATGAAATGATTTGCAATGTGTCACGATTCCTCTATTTTTCCCTTGACATTTATACTGATATGAAGATGTTGCTCATGACAGAGGTATTTTGGTTGTATTGCAGTTGGTGAACAGGCTTCTGAAAATGAGACCAAGTACATCCAGCAAGGCGCAAAACCCAAAAAGAAGAGAAGAGCGCCTGCCCCACCAATGACCTCCCCTGGCAAATCCACAAGCGACAATCGTCAATTCAATTCAAACGTAAGTGACTCAAATAAGCCTACTGCTCTCTCCTAATTGAGAGATAAACAACATTCCTCTGTTTATGTGACGTGTTAATAAAGCAACGCAAGTGTAGCATACTAGTCGGAAGAATTAAAGTTGTTCTTTCTTCAGTAAAGGAATGTAGACCTTAACACGCGAGAACGGTCTGCCAGACGGATCGGATTATGTTTCGGCTGGAGAGAACTCAAGACTAACAAAAGATGTTGGCTTATAAATGTTCATAAGTAAATGGATACCAGTTATTTTAAATATTAATGCGCTCTAGATTTCAGCTCTTTATGTTATAAAGGAGAAAATAGTTATTTAGAAATATAGCACAACAATAAAAAATCTTCTTTTAAAGTAAAATAAATTAATTTTAAAATAACTAGCCATACATTTGCTACTGAACTGCAAATTTGTTAAAACTTGGGGAAATTTAGGTGCGCCATTTTAAAATTATTAATATATAGCTTTTGTTTCTTTAGTTCCAAAGCATCGGAAACCCCACGAACATATGTGCCTATTAACAACAATATCATAAGGAAAAATATTCAAATTACATTCGAATGAAGACGTCTATTTGCCAAGTATGTGCAAAATTAAAAACTAATGTCCCCCATAATAAGGCCCATGTGGGATTTTAAAGGCAATTCGCTGCTAGGCGACACTCCTCTCTTCTAGAATGCGTAATTTAAACAACCGATAGGAATCCTTCGATGTGAACTAATCCATCACAAGGCCTCTGCATTTACAGGGCAATACTAACAAACGCGGACTGGCCTCGCCATAGCTCAAGCGGTTAGTTGCTGGCTTCCCACCGCGGTGGCCCGGGTTCGATCCCGGGTCTGGTCAAGTGGAATTTGTGGTGGACAAAGTGGCGCTGGGGAAGGTTTTCTCCTAGTACTTCGGTTTCCCCTGCCAATCTTCATTCCACCAATTGCTCCACAATCTCCCTCATTTATTATTATTATTATTATTATTATTATTGGAGGGGGTGGGTTTCCCCATGCACCGCGACCAGTTTGATCTATTGTACGTCCCCCTTGATATTCTACCAGTCTCTATACCCTACCGGTTCTGGTGCGTGCCATCAGCTCCGACTCAGCCAGCGAGTTCGGCCTCTACTGGCTCAGCGGTACCTGTGATGCTTCCCCCATCTACCAGAGGCGTTAGAAACTACTGTTGGGCGGGAAATGTCCTACAATTTGGCTCAGAGGTCTCTTTGAGACATGAGGTTCTTTTACGTGCCGTAAAGCTACGACACGGGACCCATGGCTTAAAGTCCCTCCCGGAGGACTTGTTCCCTGAATTTTTCCGCCCTTAAAAATTCCACGACCTCCGCCGGGTTTGAACGTTACCCCTAGACTACGAAGGCCGCTTATCACCCTCACCTATCATCTGGGGCTGGTACAATAGGCCAGAGGTGGCCGCAGTACAAGGCACTCAGTCCCACCCCACTAGCATTAATAAAAAAAAAACGCGGACACACAACCATTCCTCTAGCGGGATTCGATCCCACGAACCCAGTGATTGATCTAAGAATGCACTCGCCTTCGAGAGCATGGCCGAAGGAGATATTCCGCTTGAAACTAAGAAAGTTGGGCTACTGCGAGGTGATGCAGAGGTGTCTTCAGGGGCAAGGCGACCATATGAAATGTCGTGACTGGGAAATCGATAGGGTGTGGCAGATTGTGGTGGAGTCGTTAATTAATCTGCGTAGAGCGAGATCCCCTAATAATAAATTTTCGTGAGTCCAACGGAAAGACCCACTGCGCAGCTGACGATCACAATCTATTCAGCGATATCGTTTATACAGGAAGCGGATTTGGCCATTATCAAATTTCTATTAGTGATACAGAAAAGAACACTAGAATATTTTGTGAAGTTATTCGCTGTAATTCCGAACATGAGCTGGATAACTCATGAGGCAAAATCACTTGATTAAAATCGTGGCCATTCTTCTAATTGGACATCCATCTGATAAAACAAAACAGCTCTGTCTTATTGTGCTAATTATCATTCTACTAATGCTTCGCTTTCATATTAGTTAGGCCTATTATCTTGCCAGATGTGTGTGTGACACACCCGACCAGCTATCACTTATCAGAGCCTAGGTCACCAGCTGGTTTTTCACCTCTGATCCGGCAACACTTGGCCAGACTCACAATAAAGACTTTTAATACATTTATATATACACTTATTTTCTTCTTCGAAATGTATTTTCACAGTACTTTTCAGATATAACCGAAGTAATATTACTGTCACAATTGCTAATAAATAAAAAATGATGGCTTGTTGCCTGAATCTGTAAAAGTAATCACGAAGAGTTCCTGGCTACAGATCCAGAGCTCACAGGTTCGATTCCGGCGCCACCAGATTTTCTGAGAAGTAGTGGGTCTGGAACGGCGTCCACTCAACCTCGTGAGGATAATTGAGGAGCTTTATCAAGGAAATAGCGGCTCCGGTCTAGAAAACCGAGATTAATGGCCGTGGGGATCCGTTGCGCTGACGACGCGACACCCTCTATCCGCTAAAGTTTTCACTAACTTCGTCGAAAAACGGCGGTCGCTAGATCGGTATAGTTCGCTTGCGGACTACAGGTCACAGAGTTTGTTTTATTAAGAGTGTACATACTTGGCGCATGCCCTTCTGGCCCCCGGCGTACATGCTCGTAGTTGGCTGTATTTTACGGCACTGTTCTACACCTGAATCTACACGCGGACTGTCACAACAATCTCATGTCGAGATATTCATTGCCCTCTTCTACATCCACGTACAAATCCCTGCCAGAAATTAGCTTTCGTAATCAATGACACGACCGGTCACGGTCTAAGGCATGTACTGTCTTCGCTCGCTTGGAAACCGGAATCGTGGGTTTGAATCCTACTCAGGGCATAGACGTTTAGTTTGTGTGTGTGCATCTTTCTGTGTTTGTATACAGGTAGCGGCCTTGCGTCGATCTGATCACCCGCCCAAGAAGTCCTACCGAATGTGTAAGATCTAGAAAAACCGAAGTGAACGGAGAAGTTCATGGAGGTAGGCCTAGGCCCACTGGGGCTGTAGTGCCAAGGAAAAAAAAATCAATGACACAGGTTTACTCAGCTGGTTAAACAATTTCCTACATGTATCAAATCCTATGATTCATCTCATATTCACAAAATAACTCCATGGTATAAAAAACGTCCTCGGAAATTTGATAGTTATTTATTTAATAGAGATTTCCACCTACTTTACTAGAACACTAGTACTAGTGTTACCCAGTGGACTCTGTCTGGACCCAATTAAACTCAATCCTCAGCTTCACATCTTTCTCAAAGATTCATTTAATATTAATCCCCATCCTATGCTTAATTCACTTGATGTGGTCTCTCCCCTCTAAGCTTTTCCAGACAAAATGTTCTACTCACTTTCCATTTACCCGTGCATGCTATGTGTCCAGCTCATCGCATCCTTAACGTAGGTAGTATCAGATGAAGGATACAAGGAGCCACAGGAAATGTAACACGTGGCTAGCATCAGGCAGTATCAGTTTGGTCCTCGTGTTTAGTAGAATATCTGATAAAAAAATTTAAGGTGTCCCTGTGCTCAACGAATTAAGCACTACTCCATGAAGGGGTATGGGGGAGTTGATGTATAGATCCACATTTTCTTGACCTCGGCACTGGCTGGAGGTGAGTGGTCAGCTTCACGCCCTGGCCGCTTTACACCCGGTGAAAGAGCCCCTGTTACCCATTGGATAGGCAGTTGGGTGGTCCCCAGAGCCGTTCTGGACGATTTAAAGGAGAGAAAATTCTTGACCATACCGGGACTCGAACTCCAACTCCTCAGTCGTCCAGCTCGTAGCCAGTCGCTGTACCGACTAAGCTACCCCGGATAGTCAGAATATATGATATTCGGTTTATTTGTATAGTTTTATGCACAACAAATTTATTTTCATGTAGACAGAGACTTAAGACGGAGATTTAGGTGGTGACGAACTGAATATGAAATCATAGGGGGAATTCCGAGTGTCTGCAGGGCTGGGATGAATTATACGAGGAACCTCTTTCCAAACGAGCTGATTCCACGTGCACTGTAAGGATATTCCGAATACGAAACAGAATTCAAGGCATATGCCCATCATTCTTCGTTGAAGGGAGGGTGGGGGTGAAGGGGTGAAGTAGGCACTAGGAACTGGCGATTTTGGTCATTACAAATCAACAGTTTGAAGCTAAAAAGAAATTGTTTAGCCCATTACTTGTTAACCAACAGCCACTTGAGGATATTCAGTACGCTTTTAAAAACACTACGCGAATTTATCATTTCACATTTCGAATCTTGAATTTCAAGGATAATGTATTACAGAGACAGACATCTTATGCAGTCAAACAGATTCACATATTAATGTCCCATGAAAAATAAGGTAACTTTGACCTACATAATCATCCTCTTCATGTAGCCAGATTGTGTAAACAGAGGGAAGGTAATTTGGGATAATTGATTTTCTAGTAATTATCTGTGTAATTAAGTTTCACTCGTTTCGAGATACGGATTTATAATCGTAACTTCAATGTGTATGAGTGGTATGACCAACAATTACAGCTACAAGGGTCATTAGAAACCGTGCCAAGTTTTTTCGTGCTACGTAAGCACCACACCACAAGGGCGTGTACTGTCCTGAATATGCTGTAGAACACATTTCTAACAACAGAACACGAACAACACATAAAGATTTTATAATATGTTATGCAGTCGAAATTTAGCCCATATACTGTAGTTAGTTAGACGCTGATTTTTCAAGGATGAATATCGGTTTAATCCCAAAGAACTCCGCATCGGATTTATAGTAAGCAATAACCGCGAAGAAAGTTTTTCTCCAAGTGTTTCGACACTGTACTGTCGTCATTTCGCTGAAGCTCCGCGTTCATTGACCCACCTCAGTGCGGTGTGCGTTAGTTCCAACCAGTGAACCTACTTGTATTTTATGAAATTATGACGTACCGGCATTTGGCATTTCGAAAAACGTTTCAGATAAAGTTGTGGTGCTTAATTAGATTATACGTATGTTTACGTTACGTAAAATTATTTTATATGGTGATTATTTTTAAACACGAGAGTGGAAAAGTCTACATCATGTAGTAAATGTATATTTCAAGGCTTTCTTTGCGACTTTGAACACCCCATTAAGCTCGATGTTCTTTTGTTGCATATGTAAATTTATTTTGCAAAAATAATAAACATGAAAGATATGACACTTTACATAAGGACAAAATATTTCTTCTTTTATTACGTTACATATATGCCTGCATTGTCCCGAGGAATTCTTCACATAAAAATTCAGAGTTTAATGAGTAATTTTACGTTACATATCCTTTTTAAAGGGTGAACCGTTTTCAGAAATGAAGTCGAAATTCGGCTTTCCATAACATACGGCGTATATTTTACAGACGAGCACCAAAATTAAATCCACATGTCCACGTGCATTATAGACCACAAATAACAAATTATATTATAATGCGGTTTTATAGTTAAAATAAGTATTTGGGGGGTCAGACTGGCAGACATGACGTTCCCATTATGCTTTACTTTTTTGCAATTCGTATAAATAACGTAAAGGTGTACGCATACAAATAAATATTGGATGCAAAATAAATCTATTAATATATTGGAACAGAGATCAATATTTAAAATTTGGTTGAGAAGTCCGTAAAGGTAGATTAAAATTATTTACACAGTGTTCTTTTCTTTTTTTTTCACAGGAGTCGGATGCGTCGATGACATCATCCGTCACTTCTAGCAGCGCTGAAGAGCCTTCACCATACGATCAATCTGCGGCTGCTACGTCAGACCTCGAAGTGATATGTCAGGAACCAGAACTTGACTCCAAGAATAGAGAATCAGATAGCCCTGACGTTAAGGAACCAGAACAGCTGAAGAGGAAACAGCTTTCTAGCTCCGAGAAGAGTGTACCAGAACATCATTTTGAGAAAGGAGCAGAACACTCTGATAGACCGGAGAACACTGAAAAAGAGCTACAAGAATTGGTACACACCCATGTGAGTGAGCATTCTGAACGTCGCGATAAAATGAATGATGGGAAATGCGCTTTCAGAAAGGATGATGATAATGTAATAGTAGATAATGGGGTCCGTGAGGAGTACCCCAGTTCTAAAAGTGAAAACGGTAACTTAAAGCTGCAAAGTACATTCGGAAACGAATTGCAAGAAAATGGAAGTCAGCCAGAAGATGGAAACCTCAGTTTTCAACAAGGCTGGAAGGTTCATAAAGCGAAAAGTAGTGCAGAAAATGAATCAACGGATGACCGAAATGAATTGGATGATGGTGTCCGAAATACCGAAACCAGCATCAAGATTCCAGAATCATTCGCAGTAAACACTTACAGGCAAAATGGAAAGAACTTTTATTCCAAAAATGTTGATGTACAGAATGAGGGGAAACTACACACTGAACACATAAAACAAACTAAACAACTTACACCAGAACCAAAACCAAGGACGACACTACGCAATATGATAAAGAACTAAAAATTTCCTTAGAAATTGTAAAATATTCAGAAGCAGAAATCGCAGTGCTGAATAGACGTTGATATATAGATCATAATCTAATTTAAATTAAGAAGGAATTACACAATTATTGTTTTACTTGGCTGTATTAAATTATAATATATATTCGCTAAACTCTATAGTCTCTATAATAAAATCTAAAGTGCTGACTCTAAATGAATTATTAGAAAGACATGATTCAACAACAGACTCATCGGGATATTTGTAATTAGTCACAAAATGCAAAGGAAATGTTGTACCTTACAAAATTCAAATATGGTTCTTAGAAATCCAAAATAAGAACGTGGTTATGACAAATTGATGACAGTAATTGAATCTGAGGACGTACGTACAGACAGACGACAAAGCTGTTCAATTTTTAATGGGATCGCTAACTCCATTATCCTTAAGAAACTAATAGTCCCTAGGTGGTCAATAAATTCCCTTTCTTTTAAGGTATCCGAAATTTCATTACCACTTGCACAGGAGCCCGCCACTGGACCCTGTCTTGAACCAGACGAATTCGGTCCACATTCTCATACCCTTAAGATCCACTTTAACCTCATCCTCTCATCTACGCCTAACATTTTCTCCCGAGTTGTTTATTTCTTTCAGGCTTCTTATGTAAACTTTGCATGCATTTCTAGTCTCTTCCATACGTGCTACACGCCCCAAACATATGTCAATCTCCTTGATTTAATCGCTGTAATAATATCTGATGAACGGTAGACATTATGAACCACCTCGAAATGCAGTTTTCACCAGCCTCCTTCCTCGTACGTATAAATATTTTCTTCGTCTTCGTTTTATCAAATGCTCTCAATCTGTGTTCTTCCTTTAGTGCAAAAAGTAATGTTTCATACCAACACAGAACAAAGGTGAAATTATAGTTCTGTGCATGCTAACATTTGCATTGTTAGATAGGAGATGGAAAGACAACATTTTCTTAACGGGATGGCAACAGAGATACACTATTTAATCTGCTGTGGTCCTAAAATAATGTTCAGTCTGGAGAGAACTATTGCGTAACATTCTCATTATGTCTAAGCTTTCATACCGAAAAAAAGGCTTCTCTGCATTAAATTCACTCTCGGTTCCCGATGGTTTGAAGTAAGGGGAGCTGGCCAATTAAGTGCCGCTTTCCATGGCTGTAGAGCTTACCAGCCACATACCAAGACCGATTAACCTCACGACTGATTCCACTGTCATTATATATGATGGTATAGGGGAGTCGATAACTTTACGTTACTTTATAAGAGAGTGGTCAAACCATATTTTAACAGTTTCGCAGGGTGCATTTCTTATCTGATGCAGATCAAAAGGCAACAGAAGCTGCCATTCACAGTAGCTCTTTGACCTTCTCAATTCATGTAGAAACACAAAAATAAAATGAAACTCATTGCACCAGCATCTTTTCAGTCTGCATGGGCAATGTGCCAAGTCAGTGCCATATGGAAGTAGCCTAGCTTTGTTCTTCCCNCTGGCCGCCAAGGGAGTGACCCCACTTTGTTCTTCCCCCCCCCCCCCCCCAATGACGGGACCTTTGTAAAGGAAGTTACCAAAAGTCACGAGTGTCTGACGGATATGGGAAGTCAGTTATGTAAAATATCACCTCGGATTACGAAACATGTCATGGAAATGCCACGCTTTGAAACTAGGGGAAAGGATTGTACGTAAAAAGGTTTTAAATGCATGATTCCCACTTCCTTATCCCCAATGAACTAATTATTGAATAAATTACAAAGCTTAATTCAATTTCTCGTCCGTATGAAATGATACTTAAAATTAAAGAAATTGTTTTTCTTTCCATTTAACTATACATAGTTGTATGACACACAATCGCCTTTAAACTTCTTGCAGCCAAGTTTTCAAATAAATAATATACGATATGGACTATAAGAGGATTTCATAAACTGTTATATCTTTCATTTTCGCACCGTTTACCAGTACTCTCAAACGAATATGTTAACTGTAAGATTTGAGGTTTTCACAGCGGTGTCTATGAAGAAAGCAGTCTTCTGGGATATGGCGCCGTGTAGATGTTGTGTTAACCTACGTTTCGGAGGAACGTATGGCCTCCATCTTCAGGGTAGAAGAAGAAAGAAGTAAATCCGCAAACGAAGAACCAGCGAACTAATGTCTGTTAGTACCTGCTCTCGCTGGTTCTTCGCTTGCGGGTTTTCTTCTTTTTTTCTACCCTGAAGATTGAGGCCATACGTTCCTCCGAAACTTCGGCTAACACAATATCTACACGGCGCCACATCCCAGAAGACTGCTTTCTTCACGAGTATGTTGACTATTCGCTTATTGTGAACGTTTTAAGAGGATTGGATCTCAAAAATAAACACACTGCAGCAATGCAATTTCTAACATTTTCACCTCATGTCGTCCTCCCCTCAGGGCCGGCGTAAAGCCTAAATGGTGCCGGAGGAATTGGTAAGTTTTGCCCCATTCCATTGCAGTTAGTAAAGATGAACTCTCTCAAAACTTCGCCAGAATTAACAACACGAAGTTTCCTAACACTGTGACAAAACCTTCATTGCTGTCATAATTCTTAAAGCTCATTTTATTGATCTTGCTGCATGTCATATTCAGATTTCCGCAAGTTACTGATCAAGGTATGAGCACATGATGAACAGGAAATTTAATTAAAAGGGGAAGAAAGAAAGGAGTACAAAATACCTCTAAAATTATGCCCTCCTGGGAGGTCTCTCTCTTCGCCTGTGCTGTCGCTCTGGCCCGGATTTCCATGTTGCTGAATTTTAAATATGTAAGAAGAAAAAATTGGCGCGAGGTTCTCAAGGATCGTGGTCTTCTGGGATGTGACCCCCACCCCCCGTCCAGTAGAAGTGGCGTGGCTATTTTGTAATGCTAGTGGGGTGGGACTAGGTCCCTTGTACTGCGGCCACTTCTTGCCTATTGTACCAGCCCCAGATGATAGGTGAGGATGATTGTGAAGCAATTGGTGGAATGAAGATTGGCAGGGGAAACCGAAGTACTCGGAGAAAATCCGCCCCAGCGCCACTTTGTCCACCAAAAATGATACTTCACCAGACCCCGGGATCGAACCCGGGCCGCCGCGGTGGGAAGCCAGCGACTAACCGCTTGACCTACGGCGCGGCCTAAGTGGCGTGACTAGTAGCAGTCAGACCTCTCCTCTCGTTGAGTAAGGCCCCCATTTCAAAATCTGTAAACCTTGGAAAGAACAAAAATATTGTAATGGGTTCTGCTGGGGCCCGAAACCAAGAACGACTGTGCTGGCGAGGACCAGGAGCAATTTACTGGACTGGAGTGGCTGGGATATGACACCGTGTAGCCTGATAAATATATATCGGCGTTTTGTGGGAACCTGCTGCTCCTATCTTCAGGATAGAATAATCTAACCTGAGGGCAACCAACTTTCTAAGAAACGCCTAGGCATATCTACCAGATCGAATGGTTTCGCATCCCAGAGGACCGAAATCTTATAAGACGTTAGGTAACGTGTAGGTCAGTGATTTTCAGGCTTCGTGATACCGCAGTCCCTTAAACTAATACATAAATTTACACGACCCCCATCTCTGTCGATCAGTGAAGAGTACACAGTACGCTATTTGTCAAATATCTCAGTAGAACAGCGCAAAATTCGCAAAATGCTTCGCCGGCTGCTGCTACATTTTCCTGATGCATCTTATTGGCTCACTGACTTCCCAGAACTTCGTGGATACAGCTAAATTTTAAACAGCTCTTGAGAATTCGATGACCTCCTTCTCCTTAGAGTAGGTCGCCACCCCAAGTTTGAGAAACAATGATGTAAGTAATAAGCATGTATAAAAATACGCACGCTTACGAAACTTTATTGGACCATTAATTACATGGCAACAGTGCGAACCTTCGATTTTGTCGGACAACTTCCTCTAGACAGGGAAAATATATGCTAGTGCAGTGGTGTAAATGTAACACACGATGTAAATTCTTTAGTAATGAACTGGATTATACAACTTTTGCGTAGATTATAGACCTAATTAAAAAAATCTGTGTTTATAATGCCAATGACGTGTTTGTAGTTGCTACATTATATTGGACCTACGGTAGGCTACAAATAAAAGCCTGCAAATGTAATTCGCCTATAACTAACACATCATAACATCAGAATATTGTAATCTTAACACTCACTGCCATGTGGATCGAAAGTTTCACATGAGTATTTAATTTATAATAGGAAAAAAGAAGGTCTATAGTTGTAAAATGGTAATAACTTCCAGCTGTGGAAATATAAATGCATTAAGTAGAATTTGCTTAACGTCATAATTTAGGACCTCTGTCGATCCGCGGACCGTCGGTTGAATAACACCACCGTGTACAATGCTGCCAACTGCGATTTCAGCTTGACTAGGTGCTAAGTTGTAGCGCAGGTGTTCTGTGATTGGAATTATCTGTCTCATGGCGAGAATTATAGAACAGTTCTGGATGGTTCTTGTGTTAATAGAACTTAAAGCGGCTGCAAAGTGGCAGTAGAATATTTTGAAATTTGGAGAGGGTGGTAGATGGAGCATATTGGATACAAGTTATGTGGACGTGTAACAGGCTAAGGTATTGGCGTTAGTTCATTGAGTGTGAAATCGAAGATATTGCGGTAATGGCGTGAAAGACAGAATTTTTGTTGGAAGGCTAAGAATTTCGGTGTTAGAAAGAGATGCTGAAATGAGTTCCGGAACTTCTCAGTAACAAATGAAATGCCCACTGTCCCAACTTCCGATGCTGGAAGTATGAATTAACAAGTACGATGCTGTGCACCAGGGTGAGGGATATATTGCGATATTAACGGGTTAACACGAACGTTAAGTTGGTTACAGAATAAAAGAAGTATACGGCGTACGCGGTTTACTTTATTCACATAGGTTGCCCATTTGCTGAAGTATGTACAGGGTTATGTAGATTTATTGAATTGGGAGGGTTAATACAATAGGTCGGTATTAAAAGCCACAGATGATACGTAAGCTTTTCTTTAGAACGCCAGATAATATGACATTCATATATATTAGTAAATCAGTGTTGAATGTAGCTAAGAAGTATGTCCTGCAAGTTTCTCTTCTGCTGAGAGAGAAAGGGGAGGCAAGTCTGCAGGATTATTCAGCTCCCCCTCCTTGCTGAACGAACATAATGGCCCCATGAGCTTTAAAAATTCACCTCTAGCAAGGCTTTTGGGTTGTCAATCTCTAGTAATTTTCTCATCTTTTACCCTTCTTTCCTCAGCTTCTCATTAATTCTTTTCCAACCTGTACCTGATATCTTGTAAGAGAATAAAATACTTTGTCTGTTTTAACAGATCTTAAGAATGTAATCATTCAATGTAGCTCTAAAGGTCAACTGATTTTGATAAAGTACCTGGTCACTTGAGTTTGAATTTATTTTGTAAACTTGCCAGTGAATTTACTGAAGTTTACAAAGACAAAACAACTCTGTCCAGTGTGACTATTGAAGTTTTTACTACTTGAAAACTTAACACCCTTACATGTTTTGGTCCCTATAGACCATCATCAGAGGGACATCGATACTTTTTTGGAAACTACTGTCACAATGGATGTTTTGAGTGTTAAAATATGTATATATACAATGTTTGTAATGCACAGTATATATAAAATCCAACTTTTCCACAACTACAACAGCTTTCTTGGTATATTAAAGTTTTTAAAACTTTGTTATTTAAGTTAAATTTATAAACCAAATAGGTTCGTGTCCCTTCCATCGTCTTTCTTGATGGGGGCTGAACTTGTGCTGCCTGTCTATCTTGAGAAGGAGATTCTTGGTATCATCCTGTGTTGTTCATGGTGTGCTGTGTTGTTTTGAACAGTAAAAACAATACAGCAAGCCATGAACCAAGAAAGCTGCTGTAGTTGTGGAAAAGTTGGATTTTGTATATATTGTGCATTACAAACATTGTATGTATATGTATTTTAACACTCAAAACACCCATTGTGATAGTAGTTTCCAGAAAAGTATAGATGTCCCTCTGATGATGGTCTATAGGGACTGAGACATGTAAGGGTATTAAGTTTTTAAGTAGTAAGTAGTAGAAACTTCAATAGTCACACTGGACAGAGTTGTTTTGTCTTTGTAATTTGTTAGTGTGACGGACCAGAATGAAACAAATCAAATTACTAAAGTTTGTTAACAATGCAGAGAATTACTCCTAAGGACACATGTACAAATAGAGAAGGAAATATTTTGAAAAGTATGTGAAACAGTTATCACACATGCTTGTCTATAATGAATAAATACTAAGCCGTCTGTGCCTCAGTGTACCATTGAGGTTCAGTTCTCTTACCCAATGTTGTCCCTTGAGGTCCAGTTTTCAATGTAGAAGAATCATAGCACCATTTTGTTTCTGAACAAAGAAAGAAGCCAAAGTCTATCTGGATTGCAGTGGAAAATTAAAAAAGCCAGACTGAGTTCAAATGGCAATAGAAAATTTAAAGTAATAGACCAAATCCGAATTAGAACATCAAAGGGTTTAATTTGTTGCAGAAATGAAGTTATTAGTAAATGTAAGATTTGAGGTTTTCAAGGTGGTGACTATGAAGAAAGTAGTCTTCTGGGATGTGGTGCCGTTAGATAGTGTGTTAACCGACAGAGGAATGTATCGCCTCCATCTTCAGGGTAGAAGACAAGAAGAAATCCGCAAGTGAACCAGCGTGAGCACCTGGTCACCTGTTGCACCTGCTCACACTGGTTCACTTGCTGATTTCTTCTTGTCTTTTACCCTGAAGATGGAGGCGATACGTTCCTCCAAAATGTCGGTTAACACAATATCTACATGGCGCCACATCCCAGAAAACTGCTTTCTTTATTAATAAGTGATTTTATTTTCCTCATCTAACCATATTATTATAGTAATGCAATGTTTATGATGTACAATTTCCACAAATTGTGTGACATTTGTAGTGCCCAAAGCTTTAGCATTGGCATATATTCTTCCATAACCTCAAATCATTTATTTCAGATACATGGATAACTCCACCACTGACACTTAGTCCTAATGAATGCCTTCAGTGTAATGTGACAAGCATGTGGAAGTCACATAGAACCATAAGAATGATATGGATGTAACTTTTAATCAGACAGTTGCATGTCTCTACCCTTTTACTTGGCCTTTCTGCAAATTACTTTTCTCATAGTTTGTGTGGGATACAATTACCATATGTCAGAAGAACCTGTTCCTGAATGAGAACATCTCATTTTTATGTTGTAACATAATGTTGGTTCCTGGGTCACTCCAAGTGAATGGGAGTATTTATGTTAAAGCAGGCTGTGACTGCTTCCTTCCATGTTTCCCAAGTCATAATCCCTTAATCTTCCTACCATCTGATGCTGTATAGTCTGAGTTACTGACTCCATGGCTTTAGTCTGCAAGCGAACTATACTGACCGAGTGACCACTGCTTGTCAGCGAATTTAGTGCCAACTTTTGCAGATTGAGGGTGTAGCATGGTCAGCGCAACGAATCCCCAAGGCCGTTAATTTCAGTTTTCTAGACTGGAGCTGCTACTTTTTCAATCAAGTAGCTCCTCAGCTATCATCACAAGGCTGAGTGGACCCCATTCCAGACCCACTACTCAGAAAATCTGGTAGCCAGGAACTCTGACCACTAGACCACAGAGGTGGTCTATGAGTTATTGACAGCGTTTCATAAACCACAAATAAAATAACTGTCATCAGTACTCTTTATTTTTTCCATTGGGTGTATCCTGTTGTGTTTATTATATAAGATTCTTTATTAGGATCCATCATAACACAACAATGAAACGGTCTAGGTCAGTATCACCTTAGCTACATGTTTCGGCTTTTAAAGCCATCATCAGGCAAATACATCACACTGAAATGCAGTTCAATAGTGTGTGAGTGTAGTAACCATGTACGTTATTTGCCTAATGATGGCTTTAAAAACCGAAACATGTAGCTAAGGTGATATTGACCTAGACCGTTTCATTGTTGTGTTATGATGGATCCTAATAAAGAATCTTAACACTCTTTAATATTTGTGTATTAGCAGTGTCTGTAAGAATTTATTACAGAAGAGAATGGTGCAAACAACTATATGTTGACAGAAATATGTTTTATCCAAGTATGTAGGTCATATCCACCTTATATTGGCCTGAATCACACTAAGAGTAGTAGTTGCTATAGATCATGTTTCATAACAGTGCCGCTGTGGATGTTGTGTTGATCATTTGGATTTCACAGGTTTATAGGAAGTGCTGACATCACTGTTGTTTAGTTTTATAGATAAAATAAGAACTGCATGATAAGCAAAGTGAAGCAAAGTTAGATTTTACAGGTAACAACCAAGAATATCTTTGACAGTTACAAGAGAAAAGGAGCTATCCATGGTGGATAAAATGACAAAAAGTTTTCTTTACTTTGCATATGGAAGTAACTTATTGGCTCAGAGAATCCATATAAATAACCCATCAGCAGTACGCAAGGAAATTGGGAAACTAGAGGCAAGTTCAAGTACGCAGACTTTCTCCCTGACTGAAGTTATTTTGAATTATCATGCCACTGATAGTATTAAATATGTGTAAACTGGAAGAAGGAATTGAGGAAAATGGATATATAGTAATTATATGAAGTGCATGTAGAAATCATTATTTAACATCTGCCTTAGTGTGTATATGTATTGTGATAATCTGAGAATAAGTATTCTTCTAGTAAATAATTTATATGCAGTACTGCTTACTACATGAAAATCAGAAGACTTTGTTGCTTTATTTTAACAAAACTGTTCAAATTATATTGCATTAGTGCTAAACTGTTAGTGAATGAATCTTGTTATAATTGCCTTTCTAGGATTATAGACTAGACTTTGGTGGACCATACTCAAACAGTTGGGGTGGCTGCCCTGCAACAGTGGTACCACATGGAGGAAAACATGTATGGGGTGCAATATGGGAAATAAACAATTCAGATATACTGTATCTTGATCAGTGAGTTCATCAGAACTATAGAATATTAGAATTTAGCCTTTTTACAAATATGTTCTTTTCACATTATATACCTGTTTTGGAACTCATACTTAAGTTTGCTAAGTGAAAGCAGTGCTTTAAAACAGTAAAAATTACATATTATCTCTGTGGAAACAAATGGATTTATTGTAATAATTAAACATTACCCCTTTTTGCATATTTTAAAGATGTTAATTCACTTATTAACTTGTTGGTCTCAGAATGAGATTTGTGGTTCATATGTAGGATTCTAGCAACTTTAACCCAACTAGGGCTTGTAGGTTTTATTATTATAATATAGTCACTAAAATAGCTTCATAGCATAAGGAATTGTTTCAGTAATTGTTTTTGTCAGTCTTTTGAAATAATTTAATAAATCTTAACTTTTTTTACATAATTACTAATGAGGGAGGGCTGCATTGTGAATTAAGAGCAGGAACAGGATTTATGTCAGTTTATGGACTTTCAAAATTCATGATAGATTAATGTTCTATTTTAGTTATTGTGTTTTTGATTTTGTTCAGTTGTTACTAGTATTTGAATGAACTAGTCGTGCACACTAAAATTCTCATGACTTAATCAGCAGAGTGATTAGCTGCAGCCCATTAGGAATGATATCCTACATTTACTCCAGTATTTCATGTAGTTTTAGTACATATCATGTCAGAAGCACAAATTCCAGTTCTACATTGATGGCTATCATAGTGCTAATGTAGTTACAAAACTTTGTTTTCATGTAACTTGTATAATTCAGGCTTATAATTTATTCTCATAATCCTTGCAGGAAAGACTAGATACTGAAGTATAAAATAAATCTTTCCTGTTATCATTTTCCATTACAGTTATTTGGTAATGTGAAATATATTTCAGACAAGAAGGTGTGCATAAGAACATCTACTTCCCCATAGAAGTATGTATAGAGACACTGAGTGGTGGTAAGATTAATTGTCGAAGCTATCAACTCTGTGCAACACCCAAAGCCCTCGGAGATGGAGAGATACTACCCAAAGAACGGCAACCATCTCAGATCTACTTGGAGGTCATAATTAAAGGAGCAATAGAATCTGCCTTGCCTTCAACATATATAGAAGAACTTAAACGCATTCCAAATAACGGTAACAAGGGGACAATGGAAACCCCTATCAGCTTTCCCTGTAAATTTAGTTAGTTACATATATAGATTGTTTTACCAGATCATATTAATGTGATACGTTATTGTAATATTGTCTGGTGTATATATTCAGTTATTTTCATAAATTTATGTGGCTTTTTATACCATATGAGTCATGATCCAGTAGTAGTATCCATAAAACTATTCTTGTTACAACCAAGTCTTATCCTTCTCCCAGTAGAAGTAATGCACAGGGAAACATTAAGAAGTGTTGTTGTCTTTTAACAGATTTCCTAATTTTTGGAACAAAAAGTCATACAGGGTAAAAACAAGTGAATATGGCATGATTTGAAACCCGCCCCCCCCCCCCAAGTCTGTGATGGTGCTACCATGGAAAGGTTCATTATAGTATAAATGATATGAACTCCGTCCCAAGTGCAAACAGTATATTATATGTCCTTGATCTTACTCTTCTTTACACTACATGTTTCGGCCTCAAACGGCCATCATCAGGTGTATACACTCACGTTGCTGTTACACTGCACTTAGTTTAAAATTTAACATTTAAAAACACATTGTTCCTTTCGTTGTTGTTATAAACATCTACTTCGTGGATATCTGTCTGGTTTATAAATTATTTTGTTACACACGTTAGCACTTATAAAATCTTTACTTCTAATTTTAAAATCCTTTAAAATTTTAAAATTTAAAATTGTCAGGGTTACTCGCCCTATGTCTATAGTGCTGCAGCGGCTAGTTCTTCTTTCCAGCACTGTACAGGTGTTATTTTGTGTAGTCTCCCTGTGTGCGTGCCACTGCTATCATTCATTGTATAGAGTACAACAGGATGCTTAAATATAATATTCATTATAGTGAATGAAAGTATGGGTGTAACTGGATAATACTATAAATGACTGGTCTAATAGAACAAAATTCTACATGCCATGTACAATTTTTTTTAGTGTAATTAATTTTAATGTTTTGAAAGGAGGGTTTCAGTAATGATACTGGCAGGTCAGGTTAGTACTGTGTTATTAACGAAAGTAAATAAAATTTCCTCTAGTAACCCAAGGTTACCAAATTTTCAAGTTATGCAGCTTACTTGATCTATTTTGGTATACCTCATATTAATCAAAATTACCTCACCTTATAATGAGTTAACCCAAGTTACCTAAGTTTGCCTCAAGTGATCTAAGTCACACTTAGTTACCTAACTTCCATTTTAAGCTCAGGCTAATGCAAGACAATTTTTGTGATAGGGGTGAAAATAGGATTGTGTAGAAACAGGCTTCCCACACATCAGGTATAAATTCAGTATGATGTTTAAATTTAATTTAATCTCATTTCATACACATATTTACAATGCAGTGGGTCATTTAAAATAAGACATTAATTACAGAACATACAAAATATTTCTTTACTCTGGTCTTCTGGATTGTGACAGTGTGTAGTCTTGTAGGCCGATACTGATGCTTCAGAGGCAGCAGATTCTCCCCAAATGTTGGTGTATGCCTACAAGATTGCATGGTGTTACAACCCAGTAGACAACAGAGTAAATTATCACCACCATGAAAGCCTCAAAACTTATATCATATGATCCTGAACTTCATCTGTCTTGCATTTGTTGATGCTTTACTTTGCTAATTCTCTCTGTTTTGATGTTGATGACAGCCTCATAACTGGGATGTAATGTGAAGGCTGTGTTGACAATTTTATAGCCGGATGTGTATCTCTGCAAGTCAGACTGCGACAATGCCAATTCCAGGGCATCATCGTGAGTCAAGTTATCGAGTTCCTGTCGTGGTAGGCGAATGCTTTTCTTCTCCACTCCATTTATCTGCAATAAAAATATATACCTCCTTTTATGAAACAAAATGTGCACACAGAATCTTGGAGAGAACTCTTGGAAAGCAGCCACTTGAAAGATGATATTGAAATGAGATGCCAGTCCATTCATAATATCAGACTTTAAATTCACAAACATTCCATGCCAAATCAACAAAATACTGCCAAAAGTCTGTGGCAGCTAAATTTTTATTTAAATGAATATTGTTAAAACCGTTGGTTAGTATGATGTACGTATAAGTATAAAGTATTTTGTCGTATACCTTAGTGGTTTTGAAGACAGGGAATGTTGAAGTTTGTGTGATACTGGCTGTTTTTGAATCAGTAATGGAAACTATTAAATGACAGAAAATACTGTATCTCCATAATTAATCAGGATGAAACTGAAATCATATGAAATTGACATAAGCTACCAAATGACATATATAACACGAGTTTTTCAAAGTATACAGAATTATACTAGATCAAATTACTCCTGAAAAAAATCATGTAGCTTTATAACATCTTTTGGGCAGGACAACCAAGTGAAAATTTTTGGAGACAGAAGTCAGTTTCCTGTATGTACAGTGTTAATTTCAACTTGTGTTTTCATTCTCATATCTTCAAAATTACTCTGTTATTGCAGACAATATTTGTGGTTTTACTTAGATCATAGAAGCATATAAGCAGGTAAAGTTTCATTAAAAAAAATCAGCTGCCACCATGACTGTCGATTTGGCATGGAATGACTCAGTACTGTTCTGAATACTAAGCCAACAAGCTGAATATATCAACCAAAATAACAGCCTACAAAAGTCCTGAAAATTCATTATACAAACCTCCTTTAAATACAAGTCTGGTATATTATAAGCTGCTAAGTAAACTTGCTGGTCCAACTTTTGTTACTTATTCTGTGTTGTTTCATGAATTCTTTAATTGAATCATAATACACTAAACAGGTTCCCATGTAGCATAGTGGTAAGTATTTTGTCCGATAATTTGTCTCAATCTGTCAGTACAGTGTCAGATTTATATAACTTCAGCAGCATCTGCAGTCCAGGTTTACAAGTGTTACGCCCATTACAGCTATTGCAATATCATATACCATTAGCCCTTCCTCCGTTTTCATATTTTCAGCTGTTACTACTCTGAATAGAGGCTTATGCACTAAAACATTCAAGTGGGATAGCGAGAGAATTAAGGTATATCAAGGTCTTTTTGTTTTGAGAGGTTGCAGTTTAATTCCCATGTCTCACTAAGTATTATGGCCAGCAGATATCATGACACTTCATTCCCAAATTCATTACCAACTTTGTCAGCATTACATCTGCTGTAGCAGAGAACAGTGAATTTGAGACAAAGTATTTATGTTAGTGTGATGCTCTTTGACAAAAATATATTTCATGATGGCTGTGAATAAAATGTTATGAAATGGACAAGACATAGTGTGAACCTTGCTATTATAATGGCTAATAAAAACTTCTGATCCCTGATCCTCACAGTTTACTACTTCCAAAAAGAACAGAAAATCTCAAAGTGGCTAACTAGACTAAATAAATATCCTGTGTTCACCACCTGACTGTATGTCTAGAAGACAAGAACTTAATGATAAAGGTTTTGAGGCTGGTAATCCTAAACTGAGGTATCAAATTATAGTCATCCATATTATAAAGATGTAAATGTACATTTACAGCTGTTACAGCTGCATAAGCAACATGCGTAATAATTCTTATTACTATGCAGACATAATTATTGAGGCATAAAACTTAGAGCAAAGTGTGATGGCTCCTTAGAAGTGGAAATTGTCTGATGCGCAAGGAAATAATAATAATTAAATGCTGGTTTGTTATACATTATGTCAGCTACTCAAGAATAAAGATCTGATACATAAAATATCCTAGAAAATGAGGTGGATAAATTCCTGGAAGTACTCACCACGCACACAAGTTCAAGACAGTAATTAAAATCAACTTCAGGCCAGGTCTGTTCCAGAACTCCCTGATCCCATTTTATTTCCTTTGTTGAACTGTTAATGCGATTTGGAGCTGATACAAAACCAGACCACAATTCAGATGCAAAGTGTGGTGCCATTGGTGCCAAAACAATGATCTGACATGCAAGAGCTCGCTCAAATTGAAGGCCACGGCCTATCACCTCAGATGGAACTCGCTGAAAAATTTACCAACTTACATACACATATTGACAAAACAGTTCAGCATACTGAAACACGCATTATGATGGATTTGGCTGTCCTTATAGGAATCTTATTAATTTGCATGCATAATCTCGTTTTGCCTGAAAATTGAAATATGGGTCTATATGTCACAACATCTGAGTAAATACCTAAATGTAAGGTTGACATGTTAAAAATTATGTAATATAGAATAAAGGATTCAATATGACAGAAGTCTTGAAGTAACTACTCATTTATTATTGTCCTACTTACCCGCAAACTATTTGTGAGGCCCTGCATCTTGGAAATAGCAACACTGAGTTGAAATGCTGTAGTATAATTGAATGTAACACCTTTCAAATAATAGTTTCGACTATCAAACATTCGAGCTTCATGCTCCTTGAATTCAGGTGTATGCAATACTGTGTCAGAAACAATATTCTGTAAGTTGGAACGAGTATTTAGGAAACTCCTCATTGTCAACCACAGACGATGCTGCCATTTCAATATACCAGGAAAGGCTACAAAAAGAAAAGAAATATATAAAGCATTCCTCTCCTCCCTGGAAACATTCAGTGCTATGATTCTTTAAATTTTTTCAGATTGGAACAATAGGACTTTTTTGTACTCAAAATTACTTGACTGATACATGTACGAAAGTACGCTGATTTAGGAAAACCAGAAAATTATCAATCACTGTTTATAAGAAGAATATGGTTACAGAGAGAATGACTTGATATAGTAATATCAATAGGAGCAATAATAACAGTATCCAAAAAAGAGACAGTAGCAGTTTGCAGTCTGTGGCCCTTATTACAGTGCGTACAATCNCACTTGATTGTACGCACTGTACTATTTTGTAGTCTGGGGTAAAGTCTAAGATCTACAAGAAGCAGAATTTGTGGTTTGTGACTTAAAGACTTACTGTCACTAGTCCAATGTCGATTTGATGTTGGTGCTACATCTGCAAGTATGAGTAGCCTGGTTGTGTCAATTCCATAATCTTTCAGCACGGTCTCTGGATGCACTCCATTATGCTTTGATTTGCTCATCTTTTCCCAGGAAGAAACCACATCCAGGCCTGTTCCCTTTTCAACAGGTTTTGGACCTAATGCAATCATAAATAGTTGAGTTCCTCACTGCCTAAAATTCAAAATAAGTTTGGATACTCCTGAGAATTGGTAATACATTCTGACAGTTACACCACAACTTCAATTTTGATACGAACAACAGAAAACTCTGGACAGTTTAAGTTTGTAGCTCAGTGTTTCTAAGATACAATAGAATCACATCTGGGTACTGCTTAGAAGTGGTAGTAGTCATTTGTTGATTTCTCAATATCATATATATTTTAGTCTTTGCTAATAATTTCTTAAATATCTTCAATTTAAAACAGAATGAAAAACAATTACAGAGTGATTTGGTTGTCCAATTTGAAATCTATCTTGTGTAAGCTACATTAATGATACAAATATAAAATAAAATGCTATAGAAACCCTTAGAAAATGGGAAATGTGATAATATTAACTGAGTTTCTGTAAACTGTGTGCTACTAAAGTCAGTCAATCAAAATCCAACAGTGTATTTCTCTGGGGTTCTTCCTGGTCTGGACTGTGAACACATTCCATCATCGGTAAAAGAGACACATCTACACAGAACTATTATAGCCAGAAAAAAACATAAGAAAACTTTTTATATAATTTGAATGATTTAACATTTTAACAATTAACATTTAATACTAGGGGTGAACACACCTTTTTATATACATTATAATTGCATTACTTATTACTAAAAAACCCAGAATTCCAATATGTAAATACTGGCCAATGTAGGAATACTTGTACATGAATACATGTAAATGTAGAAAAGACAAATGCCTGATAATGGCTTAATGTGCTAAAATAAATAAGAAACGAATATATGGTGTGTCCATACTACCTATTGTGTTGACAAAATAAAATGAAGAAATTTCACATGCAATATGATGCAAAGAAATAATATTTTTGACCACCCACTATTTATAGTAGTGATTTATGCACTAGTAGATCTACCAGCACCAGAGAAATCATTATATTGTTCAGTCACAGTCAAAGTTTGGAAAAGAATCACCAATTAAATCAACCTTTTCTTACTACAAGCTGTACTGAAAAGTATGTGCCTCAAAATGAAATGAGATGCACACACAAATATGTATATGGTTAAACATACTCAGAAAACACCTGCAAAACAGTTTTAACATTCCAGGCATTTGAATGGGATATTATGTATTTTTGTGTGATATGCGTTAGATTAATGCATATGAAGAATATTGTACCTGTCAATCATCACATTTCAAGTCAAGAACTACTGGACAGATTCTGATGAGGTCTGATATTTCAGGTCCTTAGAAAAAACTGTAGGGCCAATAACTGTTAGGTATTCATGAAAGCCTGCATTCATGAAGGAATAAACAAACATGTATTACAGTTTTCATCAAAGCTATTCTGAACAGCCACTGAACACTGAACCCCTTCATATGAATTGAATAGAATGTAATGCAAGAACTTATAACTTACCTGAGAAATCTACATTTTCTTTAGGCAGATACTGACCAGTGCCTTTGATTCTGTAGCTTTGCCCCATTACCATTCCTTGAACCAGCAACCGTTGAAATGGTTCTTTGTATGGCACAAGCCCAATGGAGTGTAGAAAATGGTTCATAAATCGTGCATAATACAAGTGAAGTACAGCTGTAATAAATTTTCAGTACATGAGTATTAACTTGCAGGCTTATGAATATTTTGTTTGGATATCAATCTGTAAGCTTCTCAGTGTGAAAAGTATACTTTATGTGGCTGATCATTTCTCATCTCTATAAGCCTGTGGGTTAACAATTCTAAAATGCAAGGGGAATTCTCCTACAAACAAACCTAACTTAAATATGTGTTCTTTATTTACCTCTTACAACGCTATACACAGAAACTTTCACTTTGATCCTGATACATTAGTAATGATTCTATCATAATTTAATTTAACTTACTTCCATTGTAAAATTCCGTCGAACCAATCTGGGCTACAAATACGCCTGACGGATATAGAACCAGTCACAGACAAGTAACTAAAATACACATGCAATGAAAATAAGCTTAGGTCAGGTCAAACAATAAACCAAACTGTTTATCTTCCTACTTTAACATTAAACATAAAAACATCTTAAATTTAATACTGTAAAAAATCATCATACCAAGAGGTAGAAGATAACATGTAGGTCGTACCGAAAGTCAGGAGCAATTTTTTTTTCACGCAACCTGGGAACAGCAGACGAAAGATAGTATGGTGGTAGGTGGAACCAGCTATTGCGTTAACCTTGAGTGTCTTGTGACGTCAATAGCTTGCGTCACGTGACCAGTATCACTCCTAACAAAATGGCCGACGATGTTGTTTTTCCAGCATGCTGTCATCGAATTTCTTGTGAAAGAGGAAATCCCTGCTACAGAAATTCACCAGAGACTTCAGCATGCTTATGGAAGTGTAAGCAGTGTTTGAAGATGGGTGAAACATTTTAAAGATGGGAACACCAGCATCGAAGATGAGCCTCGGAGCAGTTGTCCTCGAACAGCCTCAACTGAACGCAACAAGGAAAGAGTGGATGAGATCATTCAAGATGACAGGCGTGACTGTGGACACAATAGCCCGAAAACTTGGAATAGGGCACAGTGCAGTAGAGGAGATGATTGAAAGCTTGGGCTATAGGAAAGTTTGTGCTCATTGGATCCCGCGGTTATTGACGGAAGACCACAAAGGTCAGCGAAAAGCCATCACCTCAGAACTGCTGCAGAAGGTGATAGGCACAGTCTTCTGGGATGCAGAGGGGTTTATTCTGGCCAAATTCCTGGAACCTGGGAAAACCATCAATGCTGCTCGTTATGTCCACACGCTGCACAAGCTCTGCCGTGCATTGCGCAATAAACATCCGGGATGAAACATCATCCTCCTGCATGACAACGCTCACTCCCATGCTGCTCACCTCACATTGGAAGCAATTGCAAAGATGGGGTGGGAAGTTCTTCCACACCCCTCCTATAGCCCTGGCACCACCCCGACTACCATCTTTTCGGATTTGTGAAGGATCAGCTGCGTGGACAACGTTTTGAGACAAGGGAGGCAATTCAGAAAGCAGTGGGTCAATGTCTTTGGATGGATGGAACGGAATTTTAGAGAAGGGGAATTTTCAGACTCCTAGAACACTGGGAGAAATGTGTACAAAGAAGTGGCGATTATGTGGAGAAATAAGGAAAGGTCTGTAGATTGAGGTGGTGTATTTGGTTTGTCAATAATAAAGCATGTTACTTTACAAAAAATTGTTGCTCATGACTTTCAGTACAACCCTCGTATTTATGCCAAAATAAAGCACCTATGATACATAAAACCTTAAAAATTCACATTAAAATTAGTAATTACTATTAAAAAAATTCAGCGAATAAAAAGAATTCAATAGAAGGTAGTTTTTAGAGTATTTTTAAATTGATTCTTATTATCAGACAATTTTTATACAAGGAGGTAAGTGATTAAATGTCTTCATACCTATATAATAAAACACCATTCTTTATAGATAGACAACCTTGGTTGTGAAGGGTAAAAATTATTTTTACCTCTGGTGTTTATATCATATAACTCTGAATTTGTTTTAAATAAGGAGATATTATCAATTACAAAAATTAGTAATGAAAATATATACTGAGAATAAAATGGTAATATATCTAGTTTCTTAAACAACTCCCTACAGGAATCCTTATTTCTGGAATTTGTAATAATTGTTATGGCCTTTTTTTGTAGTTTAAATATACTGATACTATAAGGGGAATTTCCCCCAGAAGATTATACCATGTGACATTTCATTTCATTAGTAATCCATATGACAGATTACTAATGAAATGAAATGTCACATGATATAATCCGTATGACAGATTACTAATGAAATGAAATGTCACATGGTATAATCTTCTGGGGAAGTTCCCCTTATGGTATCAATATATTTAAACTAAAAAAAAAATGCATGAAAATAAGAAACGTAAATCATCCTTAGTGATTCATGGGACACAAAGGGTCCTAAAGATCTAATAGCATAACATGCTTTGCTTAATTTAACCATAAGTCCATCAATATGATGCTTCCATGACAAGGAGCTATCAACAGTAATGCCTAAAAACCGAGTATTTGTATTGTTAATAATATATTTATTATTATAACTGATATCTAATTGAATTGTTTGGCTCTTAGTGGTTCTAAATTGTATATACTACGTTTTGTTATAATTTAATGACAACAAATTGATATTGAACCATTCATTCAGCTGTCTGAAAGAGGAAATAATATCTTTTTTAAAATTTACTAAATTAGGATTACTAACAATAATGCTGGTATCATCAGCAAACATGACTGGCTTAGAGTTATAATTAACTACTTTAGGTAGGTCATTTATGTGCAAAAGAAAAAGCATTGGTCCAAGTATAGATCCCTGGGGCACTCCATGTTTAATCTTCCCCATTCTGAAGAAGTATAAGAATGTGTTAATTTATCATCAATGAGGACTCGCTGATACCTATCACTGACATATGATTTGATTAGAGCATATGCATTGCCTACAATTCCATAGAATTTCAGTTTCTTCATTAATAAGTCGTGATTAACGCAATCAAAGGCTTTCTCAAGGTCACAAAAAATACCTCCCGCAAGTTCCTTATTATTTAAGGCCTGTAAAATATCATATAGAAGTTTAAACGTCGCCTCTTCTGTAGAGGAATTGCTTCTAAACCCAAACTGTTCATTAGAACTACAGCATTATTTATTACATGTTTAGAAAGTCTTACACATATCTTTTCAAAAATTTTCTAAAAGGAAGTTAGTAATGATACAGGCCTATAATTTTTTTAACTCAGCACCAAAAGCAATAATTACTAGAAACAGGCTAAAAACAGCATAAGAATCACTGCTTTTGTAAATTATGTAACACATAACAACAAACAGGAGTTGCATAAATATTGACCTTTATGCAACTGTGCAGTTTAAGTGATCTTGACATTACATATAGATCTGGTGTAAAAATGTTGTTCATGTGTGCAAAAATCATAATGAAATGTTTTTATATTTGTATACTGGTGAAATGCTGCCCTGCCAATTAAATGTTAAAACTCTTTTACTGTTTTTATTATCATCCTCTATTAGTTTTGGTTCAGATGATCATACACCACCTACAATCCTTAGATATTCTTAAAACAGACTGATGACAGGTCAACTACATGGGTGATAATACAACACCATGTTTAGAATATACTGATGATATGGTAACTATGTGGGCAGTGATGAAAGAACTGTAGTAACATATTGTGACGTGTTGCGCTATGCAGGACACCCCTCCCCTGCCAGCAGTGATGTAACACCATTGGAGCGCTGTCGTTACTAGGGGAATAGGCAAGTCAACACTCCCTCCCCTTCCCCGCCAGCGGTGACGTGGCCAAGGGATGCCGTGGTTGCTAGGCAGCAAACAACTCCCGACAGCGTTGCTAGCAACATGGCACCAGACAATGGTGGTGCCTATTATGTGGCTGTTTTCTGTGTTGTCTAGAACGAGGCTAAATAAGGAGCAGCGAAGACTATTCACAGTTAGTTCTCGAGTTCTCAAGGCAGCAGTCTTCAGAGGAAGGTTCGCGACACAAGTAGTCGGTACTTCCAACAGGTTACGGAAAATAAGAAAGTGGACACTGTGGAGGGGTCGACCCCCTCCAAAACGGAAACAAGAAAAAGGCCCGTATAGGAGGAACCGGTAGTAGAAACACCAGCCTCCCAAGCAAGAATGAAAGTGATGGATGAATGGGATACAACTGGATCTTCTAGCGAGTTTAAAGTGTATCAGAGCCCGAAGACAGTTCCCCAGTCAGCAGTGAACAAGTTAAAGTGTATCAGCGGCTGAAGACAGTTCTCCAGTCAGCAGCGAACAAGTTAAAAGTGTATCAGCCACCGAAGTGAGTTCTCAAGGCAGCAGTTATAAGTTACGAGTTAGCCAGCAGTGAGTCAGTTAACCAGTCAATATCTGTCTATCTTTCATCGGAGTTTTGTGATACTGCCAATGGCAGTAATTGTCAGATTGTAAATTGTGTGACTGTAAGAGCGAGTGGAATAAATTCGCTATATCCAATAAGGTGTGAAGTTATTTGTCGCATTATACACCCAACACATGACGATATGTATGATGTAGCAACTGCATGGGTGATGACTGAGGATGAAAGGGTTGTGGCACTGTTGCACAAAGGATAAAAATACACAGACAACATTGCAACTCTGCAGTTCATAAGAATCATGGTACTATGTAACCAGCGATTAAGTGTTTGCTTTCTGAGACAGTTATTTGGCTTCCTTTGTATTCTTGTTTGATACCTGAATCTAGACCATCAAACCAGGGCATTGTGTTAAATGCTTACATCATATATTTTTATACATCAACTGTTCTTACCATGTTCCTTGCCTCCGATATATAAATCAACAGGCATAAACTCAGCTGCTTTTGATTTACTGAAAGGCATATCCTCATTGTGTGGATCGAGGTATCGTAGGAAATACCATGATGAATCAACAAATGTATCCATTGTGTCAGTTTCACGTGTTGCATCTCCACCACATCTTGAAAAGAAGCATACAACTTTAACACATACACATTAAGCATGAAATGCATACAAACTTGATACTGAACCAGAGTGAGTTGTTTTATTCAATACCATGATTTGATTTTCCATGATCTGTTATGGAAGAAAAGCTTAACTTCTCATAACCAACATAAAAACTTATGAATTCATAAAAAATAAACACAAATCATTAGTTTGTAACAATCTATGATTCTCTTGCAAAGAGATAAAACGCATAATAAAATTCTGTTTGAACACTGATGTATTTGCATTCTAAATAATTTAAAACAGTACTATCCTCCCTGGGTCTGAAAAAGTGACCAGAGTTTTAAATTGGCTGATATCATTCATCCTTACTTTATTTCAAACCTCCTGCACAGTTCAAGGCTAAGGAGGAGCAACAAACTCTATCTTCAAGGGCAATGACTTCTACTACACTGTTCACTGTCTTAAGAACACATAACGTTTCAAAATGATATGATGCCAACATATGACCCTGGCAATTAAAAGAACCCTAACCTGATTTCCATTGTTCCTGAAAAAAATTATATTTAAGAATATTGAAGATTACACCTGACTCCTTAAAATCTTTACCAAACTAGGCAATGGATATTCAAAACAATTTCAACAAATTAATTAATCCACCAATGCTGTAATATTTTGGAGAACTGTTTTCTTCTTTTGCCCTTTTTATACGCAAAATGGAATGTCTTGGGATGAAAATATTATTTCTGATGTAGCAGAATATATTGGTGTAAGACCATTGGAAATGGCTGGAAAATTATTTGAAAACATTACTGCTGTATGAATTATGATTAATGCAGTTTTATTCATGGTATTCCCTGAAACATTTTCACCTCACATTCCTTCCATATACAATATTTCTGTATGTTCTACAGGATGCCAGTGACTACGTGAACGTATTTAAAGTTTCTGCAAATAAAATCAGTTTATTTTTTTATTTGAACAGAAATAAAATTTTACTGGGCATAAAAACAAGCACTATCTAGAGATGTGTAAACACCCTTTTTATCAAGAAGCAAACTTAAATCTTAAATGATGCTGTAATCTGAACTGGCATGGTAAAGCAAGGGATTTTTCCAATTCACAAATTCAAGGAGCTGATTTCAATTCTATACAGCACTTTTGCTTAGTAGTGTTGCTTTTTGTCTCCTTGTAACAGTGTCAAACTTCAGATAAGTTACTAGTTATTATGATCAAAACTGCAGACTGTGCTGTCAGTCCCCCCTGTATGACCACCTGCACTAAGAGAAATACAGAATAACTGCGAACTTATGAAAACTAAAGTAACAACAAAGTTTAAAGAATCTGCCATATATTAGAATACCAAATCTGACAAGAAGACCAAAGAAATGTAACAGTATCGGCATTATAATTTTTGCCAGTGGGATAGGATGGCTAATCCCCTTCTTCTAACACCCAAAGATGGAGCACTTGCAAGGAATAAAAAAAAATTAGCATGGTACCTTGTGTGCAATATTATCATTTTTTAAGTATCCTGGTTTGTATGGTGAACATGGTATGACTTGGAACCCGCACTGCAGTCTACACTTTAATCTAAAATTCTTGTTACAACATAGGTGGAGCAAGACTGAGTACCTACTTAGGGACTAAATCCATATTTTGAATGCCTCTAGGCCTTGATACCCATTGTATTCCAGCTCTACACAGATATTTCAACCTTACAAAGATTTATCACTTCATACTATGTATACAACATACTTAGGACACTTTGTATTCAGCCAATCTGTAGCTTCTAGAAGAGGAGACTTGCCCCAGTTTGACAATCTTTCAATTTCTGGTAAAGTCACAGGCAGTTCACTATATGGTACAGACTGAGGACCATTACATTGTTTACAATATACTATTGGGATAGGTGTACCCCAGTAACGTTGACGAGAAATTAACCAGTCTCGAAGCTTGGAACTGCAGGGATATCCACCAATCCCAAGCTTCTGTGCCATGTGATTAATGCGACCTCTTGCCACATCCACATCTTCAACTGAGTTCAGCTGTTGGCTATTTTCCTTTGGAGAAGATATTGGAATATTTGCAGCTGTTGCAAACAATCTGTCCATTTCTGAGATTCCTGGTATTCCAAGATGGCAATCCATTCCTTCTTCATATTCTACTTGATCAGTTACATATATGGGAAGCCTTTCTCCTGTAAAGGGATTCTTAGCCATCACAGGGAGTCTTTTAAACACATCATTGCTTTCAACAGTACTGTCACAATCAAATTTTAACCGATCCAAAATGCTCCCTGGGGCAACTGCAATGAAACTTGCATTACATACATATTCTGGATTGCACGTAAATATGGTAAGGGTGTGCTTCATAACCTGCGATAATGTGTCTTCCAACTCAAATTCAAATTTTGTTCCATTACATTCCCCAATCCAGTGTCTTTGAAGATTTATTATGTCTCTCCAGTTCTTAAGTACTGGGTCATCAAGTCCATCCAAAAGAGACCTGAAATGCAAGAATACGTATCTATGTAAAAATGTCTGATTCTTCAAGCTTTCATCTAATTAATACATTTAAAAATAAAGTGTGTAATGACAAGTCAACTCAATAAAAGTCTCCAGATAAATACTTTGAGAAACATGTTGTTCTAATGAACCACTGATTTAGGAGTTTCTTCTCCACTTTAGCACCTGAACGCCAGGAGCAACAATTGGTATCAACTTGTTCATCTGCCAGCACTGTCTGATCTACTGGATCCCAGTTAACAAGGGCCTGAAATATCAAAATATATGGAATTAGAATAAATTTCTTTCAAACAATTAGTATGCATAGACAAGAAGATGGATAATGTCCAAAAACATAATACAGAGTGGGGCGGAGAAACTTCCTTTTTTTGAAAGTGAATAAAAGAAAAATTATTGCTGATAGACAAAATTTATGTTTAGCTAAAGAAAGAACATACTTTAAAGCTTTAAATCATGTAGTTTTAAACAAAATATCTTGAAGGTGGTGGCCACCGTTCTCTATGCACTGATGCAACCGTTTTCTGAAGTTCCCCTCTGCACATTCCAACATGTGCACCAGAATTTTGGCTACTTCCTGCCGAATAACATTCTTCAGCTGAAGCAGGTTTGTGGGGTGATGTTTAAAAACCTCTGCCTTGAGGTATTCCCACAAAAAAAATCACAGGGCGTTAGATCACGTGAGTGCACTGCCCATGGGATGTCACCTCAAAGTGAGATGAGCCATCCAGGGAACTTTTCCCTTCAAAACTGTCATCGAAGCTCAGGCTGTGTGGGCCGTGGCACCATCCTGTTGGAACCAGACATTTCTTAGATGCATTTCTTCAAGAGCTGGCTCGAAAAAGATCTCAAAATCAACTGTCGAACTGCCTCCACATTTTCTGGTGACGTAACGGTCCGTTGTTGTCCTGATGATTTTTTCACCACTCCCGGTTGTCCTAAAGTTCTCTACCCACAAAACAATCGATTTCCACTCTGGAACCGGACCTCTGGGCTTAATTCCGAAGTGAGTATGGAACGCATGCTGCACCACCACGTAGGAATGGTTGTTCGAAAAATAGGCTTCGACAGCAAACACACGCTGCTCACTTGTCCACCTCATGTTTCCTACTGAGGGGTATTAGAAACTTCCACGACTGCTGTGTTCGCCGAGCCTATCCCCACTTTTCTGCGACCTACCTTCCCTTCACAATGCGTCTTCACAAAAAGGAAATTTCTGCGCCCCACCCTGTACTTGTAGTATTACCGCTTTTTTCCAAATCATTTACAATTCATTATTCACTGTTCTACTCAATTCTATACAATTTGAGACACTGGTAGCATCGTGAAATTAACCAAAAAATGTCTCATTACTGACTGAAGTGATAAAAAATTCCTACGGACACCTGTTTTTTAAGAAATTTAAACCTGTGATCCCACAGTGCAGATGATCTATAATCATGCAACCATTAAACCATGCACTCACTTGTACCAACCTGTCACAATTTCCAAAATATTATGTGACACTTACTTCTTTTTTGTAGACTAGACCTTCTTCATACAGCTTCAGAAATAAGAACTGTGTCCAGTGATAGTAATTTGGGTCACAAGTTGCCAGCTCACGATCCCATTCAAAGCTGCACCCTAAATTCTGAAGCTGTTCTTTCATGTGTTTTATATTCTGCTTGGTCCACGCAAATGGTTCTATTCCTCTTTCGATGGCAGCATTTTCTGCAGGAAGACCAAATGCATCCCAACCCATAGGATGAATTACCTTCATACAAGAATTACAAAAATTACTTGGAATAAGAAGAAGCAAAGAATCTAAACCTACTACTTACTATATCATAACAATACAATGAATAGTTGAACATTACTTTTTTCCCATTCATCCTGTAGAAATGGGCCATCGTATCACTGATAGTGTATACTCGCACATGACCCATATGCAATTGTCCAGATGGATAAGGAAACATGGACAGCACATAAAATTTTGATTTCTGGTTATCATCATCATGAACAGATGCCTGAAGCTTGTTTCTCCATTTACGTTCAATGTCATGTTTGATTGATGTTGAAAGATCTTCATTCTGGAAATAAAGAAATAGTGTTATAATATTAATATTTTTGTGCAATTAACAATACTATATCAGATGTAACAGTTATTTCACTCTGAATGACAAGATAATTACAAATACTGAACTGAGAGAGACATGGAAGAAAAAGGCAGTAACTTATATTCCAGAATCTGTTTGGAGAGACTAAGAAAAACAATAAAAAAACCTCATCCAGGATATACTGCCTCTGAGATCAAATTTAAACGAGAAATCTCCTAAATATAAAGCATGAATTTTAACCAGTGTACTGTGATATGCAATAAAATACTGACAGAACAGTATTAATTAGTATCTCACAATTTATTAGATGATGACGAAGAAAATCAGCAGTTATAGGAGTATACTAAATGCAGCCATTCCACTCAAAATCCTACTGATATATTAACAGCCAACAGTTACCCTAATGTTCTCAGAGTGCCTACTTAGAAAGATGATTCTGGAGTGTGTCAGACTTCCAAACACTTGATGCAAGCAGCTTGTCCATCCCACCAGGCCAGCTGAATGTTTTGCTGGAGACTTTCAGATAACCTGCTGTACTAAAGAGAATAGGTGCTCCAGCAACACTAATAAGACACCAGTTTCACGGTTTGAAAGTATTTGAAACAATCATTTCTAGAAGACTCAATGATCGTGACACATAAAATATAACGAGTACTTTCAGAGCAGTATGGATTCCAAAAGGGATTATCAACTCAAAATGCTATATATAAATTAACCAATGTAATGCTTACAGCTTGCAACAGAAAAGATTATGTAACTGGCATATTCTGTGATATAGCCAAGGCGTTTGACTGTGTCAGTCACGAACTTCTGTTACAGAAACTACAGTACTGTGGAGTGCAGGGTGTATTACTGCAATGGTTCAAATCTTACCTCCAATATAGGAGACAAAGAGTGGAACTAAATTATATAAATAATAAATATTATTCCAACTGAGAATTTATTGGATGTGGTGTGCCTCAGGGATTGGTGTTGGGACCTTTACTTTTTAATATATACGAAGGGGACCCAAAAATAACCGGAAACGACCTGTTGCGCGCGCATGCTTTGTAGTTACGAGTTGTGCTGCTAGGTGGTGTTAGCTGGGGGTCTCCCGCGACTATTAGTGAGCTGGCGTCACTCTGAGTTAAGTGGTTTGTCTGTGGTGCTCTGTTGTGTGCATTCCTGTTTCAACCCTTTGGCGATTAGTGAGATGGCCGACTAGAAGGAACAAAGAGTGTGCGAGAAATTTTGCTTTCTGTTAGGGAAAACTGCACTTCACTCTTCAAGTCGCGGCAAACATTCATGCGGTTTTCTCTTTGGTCATCTCCGAGCAAGCGAGGAACAAATTTTGCAGACACCAGTCTCATGTGCAAACCTTCGGTTAAAATTCGCTGGACCGTGCTCCATGAGATGTTCGTTTCCTCAGAAGGTTGGTCAATGGTCTTTCGACGATCTTCATCAATTTCACGCACACTCTTTGTTCCTTCTGGTC